AAACTTGTGACATCTTAAAAAGTTGCATGATATAGCAATGGTTAGAAATAATTGAATCCAACACAAAGTGCAGCTGAATATGTTTTCTTGGTAAAATGTGCTATGTGGTCCATAATTTGCTTTTTGATAAGCGAATAGAGACGCGTACGAAAAAAAAATTAAGGTGCATTTTGCGTCTAGATCGGGTGTGACTCTTGTTTCTGTCTGGGAAGAGTGTTCTAACGCTTTTTGTGATAACCTTTGCTCGTATTTACTATGTGTAACGTTACGGACATGAGTTGTCTATGGTACGTTAGATTAACTTTAGCGTAGTGAAGCTGGAATGAATGCTTTAAGTCTCTTATAACTGTTTTGTTATATTATATGCTTGCAGCGATAACGATAATAATAATCATTTGTAGCATAGTACATAGTGATGATTTCACAAACTTGATGTATGCTTTTACATGCCACCCATGGTTCCAACCCGCTTTAGAAGGCCCTTCTACATTTCGTGTTACTAATAGACTTATATTGAGGAGATTTTTAGGAATAATCGAACATAACAACAGTCTCTGTTCACCAACTATCAGGTAATCGCATTCTAGTAAGAAACAAATTCTATACTACTCGACCCAGCGATCGGCAGCGTTTCTAGAGAAATCTGTATTAGGAAACCCTTCTGTTTAGTGATGGTTTTAAAGTTTTGCCAAACTTCACAGTCATCGCTAACGTAACGTCGGCAGTGACAGCATATTGCCCCCGCAGCAAAAAGCCAGGAATGGCCAAGACGAACCTAAAATCGACGATCCATCTTGTGAGAATCTCAATGCCTTGTGGAACAGTCTGAAAGAAAGAAAAAACAAGATATAGGCCCAGATGTATGGAAGTTTGCAGCGCATCTTATTGCCAATGATCTCCACACTCTATTGGACTCTCGGATCATGTCGAACAAGATCCTAATTTAGATGTCAGCCAAATTCGAAGTTGTGACGATACTGATGCACTTGGTTCTTTCGGATTTTAAGTAGCCTAAGCTTCATTTTCAAGTAATGTCCCTGCTCGCTAAAACAGTCAAAATTAAAAGAACAGGTGAAGGCATCGTCATCTACCGCCCCCTTCACGCCGAGATACGGCCAATTTTTGTTGCTTTCCTTAGATCACATGATGACCATTTAGGCTTCGTAGGGGTCGACGACAGTTGTTACCGCTGCCCGCAAACATAGTAACACGCTAATTAATTAGAGAATAAGACCAGCTATAATGCGTGTTGAAAACGTACCACTCTCAGATCTCCAAAATGAAATTGTGTTAACTATCGCTGATTACGTTGGAAATTTACCTGTGCTTTTCGACAACTCGCAAGTGATCATGAATTGCTTCTTGGTAATCGAGCGTCTTCTACGCAGCACTTCAAAAAGTATTCCTCTATATTCCTATGTTGTCGAGCAGGCAGAAAGTTCAATGAATATAGGTAACTACTTAGTAAACTCTCGATACTTCGTTAGATCCCAACCCTGCTGGTGCTGCAATATTCACTGTTCGACCAGTATTTCCGGGCCGTAATCGACTGCCAAGGCTTTCCCGTTACCAGGCTGGACCATCACTGGATGAAAGCTGGAAAAATGGAGCTCCTTTAATAGGTAAATGTTGATTTCCACAAAAGGCTAAAACTAAGAAATACTTCACTGACGAATTCAGACAACAGGCAAAACACACCTGTAAGTCTGATATACGATACTGCTTCTGTGTTATACTGACAGCATTAAAGAGCTCAAGTTTTTGAAAAAGCCTCCGATAGTACATACTGAATTGGGGACCTGCCTAATGTAATAGATTCGTTCAGGGATATGATTCGCATCATTACAGCAAATCTGCCAACATGAAATGCGGATGGCCAGCTGATGTAATGTTTGTCTAACGGCACAGATAATAGGTAACAGATTTCGGTGACATGACTTGTTGTGTATAACAGGTGCAGTTTGAAAAAGTAAATTTTAAATCGACATCTTTGTCGGGGGTAATGCGCACATAAGGTAATATTAATTATCATATGTGCGCATTATTTTCGTTGTGAATCGCAACGCGGTCGGTGTAATTGGGCTTAAAGTGCAGTACAGAGAATTGGTATCTGGTGAATGTTCACCGTCATCAAGTACTTACTAATGGCCGAGAGTCATCGTCATAAAAAAAGGGGCATACGTATGAAATTCATATATATGTATATTCTTTCTTGCAGCTATATCCGTATAGGATGAGTTACATTACAACTATGAAAATTCTGTCATCTTGCACAGTGTCGGGCCGAAATGGAACCTCGCGGCTATTTCATCCTTATGTAAAAACGAATATGTGGCTCTTTTTAGCAAGGGCATTAAATCAGACTTCGAATCATCACGCCGTATTACTGAGGATGAGACGAGCTAAATCAATTTATCTATCAGAATACATGGCCACCTATTACAAACGCATAGTTGAACTTTTTCAGGTGATTTTATGCGACAATTTATCGTGTCACGCCACGTCTTGTGATTTTAAGGACTTGAATCGGTATTTAATGCTACGGGATTTCAATCACGCCAAAAATACGTTTACGATACAGCATATCGCGTGTACAAAGTAAACTATAATGATATGTTTCTATAAGCGCTCTAATCGACTAATTTCGATAGATTTTACTCTGTTAAAAGGCAGTCGATTACACCAGTCGTGTTACTTGAACATTAAGTTCTGCAGAAGATGGCGTTACTAATAGCCACACTAGCTCCCACGTTGAATCTACACAAACATAAAAAGTGGCAAGTAAGGCGATTGGGGTGCGAATCCTATCTAGTTGTCTGAAGTCTGCAACAACTTCAAAAAAAAAGCTGTCCCACTTTTTTAGCCTTTTTGTAGTTAAGATACACAACAATAAATTAAATTAATGTCAAGTTAGCGTCTATATGCAGACGCCATAAACGTCTCACAAGCGCTATGAAGGACAGGATACTAAACTTACGTTAATGTTAAAATTTGTTCTATTTGATAGCTCAGTTTTTTGTAACTTCGCTCCACTTTTCCGATTGATGCCCTGCGCGATGCATCTTAATTTACATGATATTTTGAGAAAGTAATCACTTTATTTATAAATTACATTCAATCAGAACAGCAGTTTTCGCCACTGCTGACACGTGCACGGAGCGGTAACCAATCCGGATACTATTTTGTATCAACTCTTATTCTCTCGTTCAACTCTTATTCATAACGCTTACGTAATTTGTTTTATATGACATATCTACAGAAAATGATTATATATTCTATTTTACTTTTTAAGTTGTCGTCTAAGCCCTTTGTTTCGAATCATATATGGCCCGCAAATTTTTAGTTTTATCTATCTAAATATATGTCTCTGTTTCTAAAAAAAAACTATTAATTTTAGTACTACGAGTATCTTTCTTGGGACTCATGATCCTACTGGTTGTTTTGTGTTAAGCGTACAATTTTATTTAAGTTATTTGCGAAAAAAGATGTATGTATAGGAGAATGCAAGGTTTCTTTAGGTAGCTTATGTTCAACTATATATGTACGTTCTGGTTAAATAGATCTAAGTGTTGGTGCCATTATCTCTGTTAAACAAACACTTCGGGGCCATAACGCTTCCATTCGTATAGACGAAGTTAACTAGCCGATCAATTTTGAATCGACATACCATTTCCTAGGAGACACTCTGGAGTTACTCTCCATTATAGAAACGAGTTCTGTGTGCTGAAACGCGCTAAAACTTCGGTAGAAACACATTGGGACTGCCTTTATTGAACCAGCTAACACTGACGTTCTGACGCGTCTCAACGCGTACTAGGTAAATTTCGCCATTAACACATACGGCGCGACAAATAAGATTATTTAAAGTAAAAAAGTACTTTATTTAAAGTAAAAGACTTAACCTGTAGTAAGATTTTCCAAATCGAACCATGGCTTTTAGTGGTAAAAGTGAGCGGCCATCCGATGGAATGCCTCAGAAACAACTGCTAATAAAATGTACCTTCTGTAGAGGCCAAAACGAAAGGCGTTAGTTGCCCATACTCCTAGGAAGGCTGATCGTGCTTATTTCTAATGCAGCAATCAAAACGTTACGACAGCGTGTTTAAGCAAGCTACGTAACTTGGCCGCAACGCCACATCGGATCAAGCAAACGGTATAGCAGAGATGCATGCCTCTACGTCCTCAAATTATTTAAATCGGATAGCTCTGATTCTTGAAGTGTTAGGAAATATCCTCAAGTCTGAATGAAAATCACGACGAAAAGGCGATGCTCGGGTTCGACTTCTCAGTTGCACGCTTTTTCATGGCGTTTTACAATTTAACTAAAGATTCTCTTATCAACTATCGATTGATTGGTTAGGAAATATTTGTAGTTTTGGTTGTTTTAACTATGAATACTAGCAGATCCGGAACACAATCGGAGTACACAAATCCTAGTGACACCGGCAATATGGAAAGTTGTTATGCGGTAAATTGTCAAGCCCCAATTCGTCACCGCTGGTGGTGGGAGATTAGGGCCTTTTTCGTGATATATGATATTAAAAAATGTTTCTAATGTATTCTTCCGATTCAGTCTTCAATTTCAACTATTTTCCGAATCACAAGTCCTCATATGCCCGAAATGGTCTTTGAACGGCCTCCGGATTCCTTAATTCGTGACTTTTGTTTGTAGAGTTCTGACTGCGTTGCATTATTTGAGATCAATAGATGTAAACTGTAAAAAATCTTATGATCTAGAAACATCTAAAGCTGTGTCTCGAACAGGACTTGTTGTTTTCAAACAGTGAAAATATCTGCGTTATACTGAATGTTATATCGGTGTTTTATAAATCTTCAAATTAAAACATAAAAATGCCCGCCCCAAAAATTCCCGTTCAATACGTCGTCAAAGTTTACGTGTCAATCGCCCCCTTTCAACACACCATCGCTGGTGTTTAGTAAGTTAGTTATGTTCCATATTCCGTAATTAGAAATTATGGAGCCCTCTCTCTATGCCCAAATGTGCAAGTGCTCACGCTTATGTACCTAGCGTCGTTCTAAAAATATTTGTGGCTGTAAAACTGAAAGATTAAACGGTAACTCTTTTTTAACAACGAGAAATTTTTTTAGAAAGTAAAACTTTCTTGTGTGTCTAGATGGAGCAAACACATTTCGTTACTGAAAAATATGTGTTATACAGTTTTGATTATACCTAATCTAATTCACATTAAACACCCACATCTTCTGAAGGTGGCCTGTGAGTATTGGCTCTATGATAATAGATACACAAAAGAATGTCTCTTATATTTTCCTTGGAAACTTGTACAAGGTTGAAAAGCTATGTAAACCGCGCAGTTGGGAGACAGTCAGTTCGGCTAGACCAAGCTACGTAATAAATGCTCCTACTGACACCGATACTCGAGCAAAGTAGTGTGAAATGGTGCGCAAATCCCTCTTACAGGCAAGCCAGCGTAACCATATTTGGCCAATATGATAAAAAAACAAATGATAAAAATTCATCAAAAAGTGATATTGTCGTAAATACGACGTAAGTTTGTACAAAAATAGAATAAAAAACCACCAAGAACGTGCTTGATGTGACATTATAACCCCTGCAGATACATGATTTCAAAACATGCGAACAGATGACATTTGATTTTACCTGTTCGGAAACGCCGTCTTGCATATTTTGAGCGGAACCTATGAAAATATATAGGGTGTCTCAATGAATCGATCGCTTATCACGATATGCTCGGCCTGCAGTAAAAAATTCACAGCATTTTAAACACAATCTTAAACACAATTGTTTTGTTTTCTTGACAGGTAAAGTGAAGTCCTATTTCAACAATTTGTGGTTTAAATGTTAATTTTTCTATTATTACTTTTTATGTATTACAATCTAGGTTTATTATGGTGTTCTCATTTGTCCATCTATGGACGTTAATAAACTCATAGCCAGATCGCGATGGGCCAAATAGGGGTAACAGCCTCGATGACTAATATCATATTACCGCCCATTAACTAGCACAAGGCAAACAGGTTCACATTAATATAATCAAGTTGAGATTGAAACGCTTTTTTTTGTACATCTAGCAATTATCTTCAAAGACGTATCCACTTTAAGTCCTATTTTTTGGGAACTACTCCATCTTACCTAACTATGATATAAACTACTAACGGGATTCACTCTAGGAGCCCCTATTTTGCTGTTGGACTGCCTCAGAAAATGGATAGACGGTTCAAACAACTAGCTAGATGTTATTTACGCATGCGGACAGCGCTACTACTATAAACATGAGTTAGGCGGATATACTTTTTTCTACCACTAAATAGATAATAAACAGATAAAATCTCCGATCTGTGTGTGGCCTGCATTCTCATATTGCCCGACATTCGGTTGCATCTATTGATAAGCCTATTGTTTTACCATGAAATTTTATTCGGCTAATGGACATACACTGTTAAATAACATTTGTTATTTTAAGCCTAATGTTTGTATGTAAACATCTCTCTGAATGAAAGTATTTCTATAGTAATAATACTATTAGAAGATTGTTTAACACTGAAGTCATGCAAATGTAACCTGACGGACGATAATAGAAATTGCGTTATTTCTCGCTCTCAATATTTGTTTTTGTTTGCTAGATACTATGGAGCTCCCGGAAATATTATCGATCAAACTTTCACACCGCAATCAAACCTGTTAACACCTGTGACAGCCATGCTTAAAATCACTAAGGCAATCTTGCGATCGAATGAATTAGAGCTCATCATATCTATCTGAATGTAATAACCAATATATAACCCGTCTATAATACACTTCATTTTAACGGTAGCTTACGATAAACGTCAAGTGGTTGTTTTCATTACACCAGATTCATACTCATCCATAATTAGGGTTCAATCTTATTTTTTAATTAGCGTTACTAGAACTCTATTATCGCAGTGACCATTCGTGTCGTGACCGTCCTGTTTTTGCATTGCGAGGAAGTTTAACCGACCATCGTTTGAAGCTTAGAAATCACATGTCCCTAAATTGCTTGTTACACTGATCTCGATTTTATCCAATCTAGTATGTGTACAATTGAACCATTTGTCAAGCATCGTTAGAAATAGCTATTATCTTTGTTAGCATCAATGACGTCTTTTGGTATAGCTACATCGTTAATTATTCTGTGTTCCGTTTACCGTTGTGTACCACAAGTTTCTGCCTCAATTTTTCGAACACATTTCGTCATTGCCTAAGTATTTATGTTAATCTAGCTTTGCTGCAAGTCTGTGTGCTCGATCTATTATTATTGTAGGTAGATGCCTCCAGCTGGGTTTCTAGGAACACTCTGTATTCCTTTCTTGCACATTTCATTTGCTTGACCATCCCATTGCTAACCCATGTTTACGGCTTATTAACACATCGGTGTTCCTGGTCTTTTCGCAAGTTGTTCCATGCATCCACGTTAACGTTGAATCTAGATCACGTCAAAGTCAATTAGGCCCAGTCAGGTATAATTGGTAATTGGGCATTCGTGGAAGCAACCACAAGTGAGTGTTGTGGCTTCATATTAATATTTCTGTGAGAGCTGGCAGCTGCGACTCCAACCTGCAACTCGACCTTCGCCTCAGCTGAGCTTAAGTCGTACGCCCAATCCAATTCAATGAGGTGCGTTCATTATAAGGCTAGCAGAGTCCACCAAACAAGCCCTCATTAGCTTCATCTTAATTCAGTCGTTTCTCAAAATATGTACAAAAAGCAGCAGTGCGTTAGACATTTAAAACGTCAACAAAAATATGATCTACGAAATTGCTTGTCGTAACCTGCTTTTACTATGGCAGCTTGTGTCGCCGAGGTTAGTCTCCGTTCGATTTTGAAGCTCACCAAAATGGACACCAGCCGATATAACATTGGCACAAATTTTCGGGAGAAGTCGCTTGCCGGATAAGCAGTTCTACCTGTTGGGACACTTCGAGTGGCATCCGTTGATCGAAGTCGCGTCCTGTAAGCCCGGAGAAGCCCGGACAATAAACACAGAATAGCGTACATTAAAACAACAACGAGTCTGGACATAGGTCGCTGTTTATAGTTAGGAAAAAGAGACTTCTTGCATTTAAACGCAAAACAAATGTAAAAACATGTAAAAATGTATGTATGAAACAAAAGAAATGTAAGTATATCGCACCGCTGAGCTCTAATCTTCTCCGTTCTATTTAGCCAGTGCCGTCGAAGTGATGTAGAATAAATGAATAGAAACGCTTGCCTAATGTACTAACGCTAATGTCCAACGCTTATTTAAAATGCAAATACCTAACACACGTAGCTAATATACACTACAATGGCTAACTTACATAATTGTCCGCGGCTGGACAATTCGGGTATATGCATATAATTGTGCTGTCGTATTGAAAAAAACTTCTAGGACAATTTGCTACTCAAGCAAACCTCTCGGTATGCAATGAACTAAACAAAGACTCACCGGTCAGTTTCTCTCGAACTCGTTTGATAATCGCCACTGCTTTTTTATTGAGAACTTCTTGCTTCGGACCTTGACTGGATTGAGGTTTCTGTTGAGCGGCGCCTGCTGCTCCAGAAGGCCCCGCCTGCTGCTGCTGCTCCTGCTGCTGCTGTTGCTGTTGCTGCTGAATGGCCTGCGACTCACTCTGAGCGTGCGCTTGACTGGACCGATTAAAAACCGCGGCTCCATCACTTTGAGGTTGGGAAAGTATTTCCGAGGCGGTCAGGCGTCCTTCACTAAGAGATTCTGTCGGAGCAACTTCTAAAGTAGCACCATCTCCTGCAAATATATTAATATATAATTGTGCTCCTTTTTTGTTCTCCTGAAATCGTTACAGGTATCACTAATTGAAACAGATGTCTACCTGCAATGAATTAGCTTCATAAAAATAACAACCTTTTTTTTAATGCTTCTAATATCAAACCTCATAGAACAGAACCTTTGTATACCGAGTACTTAATATACGATAATCTGCCTCTACAGATACATCATATGATCGTATCCGAGTAATTACTGGCAAATATTTTAGAAGTTAACATTGCTACCATAATAATCTCCGCTGTCGTGCCATTTTTCTTTTCAATGCGTAATCAAAGAAGTAAGAAACTTGATCATTGGAATGAAATGTCGCACCCCAACATTATATATGACATGTGGCATGCACTTAGCATGTATTAAAATACAAAATAAGTCACCAAAAATAAACCAGTAAAACAACCACGGGCTATCACATACCACCCGCAGATGAATCAGCCGACTGGTCTTGAGTGACTCGAGACAAAACATGCAGAGTCGTAGTGGTAGGCTGCTGGGTTTGCTCGAGGGCCGCACTGCTTCCGTTGGTATTATTTGTTGTATTGCTGTTGTTTACAACGACGTTCGGGTCTCTAGCAATCGTCGTATCGGTGGGTCGCGGTGCGGCAGTGTGTCTATTTCGTCCCGTTGGCTGTGCATTCGCTTCGACCAGGCGCCAGTTGAAAAGAGGGTCGTATACGAACGCTTCAAGGACGGCCATAAGCGAGTCCTTGTGATTGCGGAGTACCTTAAGTACTTTTTCGCAGGTGATACGGTAGGTGCCCTCGATACCGGTGACCTCCATCGCGAGAATGAGCATACGCGTTAACCGGAATGGTATCTTCTCTGGGAACTTCTCGCGGGTCATTGCGACCTCAAAGCAGTCGCCGAAATCGATGTGTAAAATTTTTCCTGATGTTCGAAGCATCAAATTCGACGGATGCCGATCACCGAGGCCTGACGAAATAAAATTTCGGATCAAATACGCCGAACCAAAGTGAGTACACACTGGCAATGAGAAACGATTGTTCTCAAATAGCGAATAATACATTCTAAGAAAAGCCATGTTGTACGAAAAGAGAGCTGGAGTTCAGCATCAATCAACAGCGACTTAATCGGTACACCGTTACGTACTTACCAAGCACATATCCAACCATAGACATGACGGCCAAGCTTCTTGTGTAATTAGTTCGCCTTTCGAACCATTCCTCAGACGTAGGACTTTTCAGCCACAAGAGTTGTGCGAGATCTTGCCCTTGTGTGGCCTCCAATGCGTACTCAAACACTTCAACCTTATGCATCAATGGGAGATGATCGTATTGGGGCGCCATTCTCAACATTATTCGATGTTCGATATTGAGCAGAATTTTCTTCCGCTCACGATGATCCTTGATTAGAGTGTGTAAAGTATCGCAGTTCGGCACCCATCCAATGAGCCCCGAGTTTGTCGATAAAGGAATGACAGAGTAGCGCTGAATGGTTAGATTACGTCGCGACGTCTCCGGATCGTTAATAAGAAGTGTGTTGACCAGTCCGAAGAGCTGCATAACTCGTTCATCCTGTCGTAAATCCTCGTGGCCTAAAAGTTTTACGTTAATGACAATAATAATCAAAAATGTTGTCCATCTTGTTGGAATGATCATACTCAGATGCTACGCAAAGTTCATGATTGCACAGTCTTATAGAGCTGTCCACGCGAGTACATCCAGAGTGACGAAAACGGAACGCTACATTCTAATAACGGGTCAAGAAGTGAAAATCTTTCACATTAGTTGAAGTGGCCATATCTATCTTCGGTGCAGATGGGTTGAGTTGTTACCTTTGAGCAAAAAGGTGAAGTCTCGCCCATCGCTGCCTTTTACGGTGAGCTTCCGAGGCCGTTGCTTCGACGCTATTACCTGCAATGTTGAGTGTACCGAATGTATTTTGACTATCGGCTGAGTGGGGTTGTAGCTGCCGGGCACGGCCAGTTCCAAATTGGTACACTCGAGAAGTTTCGGTGAACAATGTTGCAGCTCTAGATTGGTCAGCTGGGGTAATTGTTTGGAGATGCGACGGAACACGCCGTAGTATTGGTCCCACGCTGTGCCCAACTCTTTCACATTGTGAGTGCGGCGATAATTCTGACAGCAATCGTTGGCCCTTACGAGGTCTGCAGCGTAAGCCTGTACAAAGTACAATACCATGTGAAAAGTGGTTAGAGTTAAAAATAGAGGGTAGTAACGAATTATGTGTTTTTGTACCGCTTGCTAATCCTGGTACATAATTCTTCTAATATTTTTGTCATTTTTGTATCGAACCTGGTAGAATGCTGTCTCCTTAAGGGTTTCCGGCCCCCGAACCATAAGGTCGTGCAAGGGCTTTAGGGTGTCTAGCATGCCCTGGACGTTTCTTTCACCAAAGTACAGTCGCGACGCTTCTTCGAGTCCCTCGTGCCACAGCTCGTGCCAAAGGATCGAAACTCGGATCAGTTCATGTGACACGAGCCGCGCTTGCTTTACAAGGTTAGGCCAATGATCATTCATGAACGACAATACCACGTTAGCCGAATGAGATCGCTGAGCCGCTGAAATTTCCAGAAGAGAGACAAAAATGAATGCCGTGGTGATCTCGATGATAATAGATTTCAAAAATTAGCAACAACGCTCAGCACAGTGTATTGTTCAAGATTTGATTATGCCTCCTTCTGCACGTATTTTGCTATTAATTACTAGGCCTTCCACCACAACTTAAGCGTCTCAGTGTATCAACCTCTTGATGAATGCTGACATCAGCCAAATTGTGTACGTAATCTAATACCGTAAACCTATAAGAATCTTGAAACTAAGCTAATACGCTTCTATATACGTCTTTTCTCGTGTGCCTTAACTTTTTTTTTACCAGGGATTACTAGTAATCTAACTGAGCCTACCATTACTCTTGTGGGCTACCGTAAGCGGGTAGATTAACGCCTGGGGGTGATGTTTTGAGATATCCATGAGCAACTCAAGAATCAGATTGGCGACGTTGTGGTTAGGCGTGTCAATTCTTGCAATCAGTTGAGGAATGACCTGGAGCCAGGTCATAACAGGCACAGCCTTCTTCGCCTCGCTGACCGCATTCAAGACCGACTTGAAGTGGCCGTAATCGAACCATAATGTAAGCAGGCGTAAGGTGTCCTGAAGGGATGACCCGTCGCTTCCATCTGACAGGGCAATTGACCTGATGAAACCTATAAGCACATAAACCGTTATTTTACGATTATAGAATTTTAATGGCTAGCTGCAATAGAGTGTTGAGACTGCAATATAAAACAAAACTACACCACTTAATTAGTTTATTCATTACATTTACGTTCATACGCCCAAGTCACCATTTGCTGACTTGAGGCGAGCCGATACAGGTACAAGCTTCGCTAAAGCATACTCTAGTTACATGGAACTCATTGTTGGCGCTGAAGCTTCTTCTGCTTGGGGGGTCAATGTATCTATACATTTTTCAAATAGCTATTATAACTGAGTGACGCCAAATCAACATATTCTACAATTGACTTACCCTGCACCGCTGGCACAGCATAATCGTGCATAAGCTTATCTGTCATGCCGCGGGTATGATCGGACGTGTGGAAACCTGATGTGTCAGCGTTTTGGCCCTTATTTCGCTGGTGAAGTAAGATGGCTTCAAAGTTAATATAAGCGAATGCGTGCCATGCCTTATGCCACGCGCTGTTATGTTTTTTGGCCAACGTGAGATAGTAGAGGATGTCTCGCAAGGAAGCTTCATTGACGCCATCCAGTTCTTCTTTCCAACGACCGCACTTCAGGAAACACTTAGACAGAAGTCGCTGGTAGTCGCGTTTCTGCGTTGGAGGTACAGCCGACTCCTTTTCGGTGATCTTGGTGAGCTCCTCGTGAGAGAATCTAAAATGCGATATATACAACTTCATCTTAGATGACCTTTCGGCCCAGCATTGAATTGCATAATAAATCAAATGAAAAAATAGCATTCATATTTCCTTACAGAGACGCTGTAATGTAAACCAATTTGATCACTTCAAAGAGGTATGATGGATTCCTAATTGTGCTATTTATTAACTTGTGCAGTAGATTAAGAACAGTCTTCTTCTTTTCCAAGTCTTTGGCCAGTCGAGCCTCGGTCCACATGTGCTTCATAAAAGCGAACGAAACCTCAGGTTTGGATCCGGCGCAAGCCAATAGGTTCTGTGGGGTCGGATCGTTCGTACCCAGAAGCGTAGCCAAAACCCGCCGCGATTGTTGGAGGCGTCCTGAACTGCGGCATAGAGAGGCAAACTTCAACCATGTTCGCTGATCGTCACAAGGTGAGGTGGCTAAACTGTGCACCTGTAGAATACGCTGCCAATCCTCTACGGATGCTTGGCATCCTTGCAGGCGATTCCACCTGCCACGTGCGATAGGCACAGGAAAACGGTCATGTTAGTCTAAGTCCACTACATGCGTGTGCGGGCTGACTAAATGCCTATTCATGGATATAAAAGGTTGGAAACATGTGTGAAAATTGAACGTTTCTGGATACGGATGCGGCGTAATTTTTACTCTCGAACTATTTATCAGGACATGGTAAGTCTTGTGATCCGCCCTCTATATGAGGTTGGAAATATATCTTCGTTCACTTATTTTCTAACTGCTTTTTACTGACAAAGTTTCCCAATTAGTAAAAAGCAACCAGGCGATATGTGAAAAGAAAAATATTGGATGTATTTGGACAACAGAGGTCCAATATAGGATGTATTCGGTTTCTCTTCGACAATGGTTAAACACCCACCATTTCTGCCTGATGTGGTCTCGAAGTTCCGCAACGAGTTTGTACTGTACGACTTCTTCTAATTCAGCTAACATTTGCACTTGCACCATGGCGGGATAGGCTCGAGGGTAGCTTTCCTTCCAGAGGGCGGTCAAATCTGTTTCAAGCAAATCACGAGCTTTATCGATGTTGCTATACGCTTCCAAATAGTTTTGTTCGTGCACAGCTAAAACAGCTTGATGGAAGGCAAAGTCCAACGATGTCTTGGGTAGTGCAGATGAATATTTACGCATGTCATCCCAATTCTGTAGTCCCCACGCGGCCGCCGATGCCATTCGCGCCATTTTGGCCTGTGTTTCAACCGAGGATTTCTCCCATTCTTCGCTAGCCAGCTGATGCAGTTGTTTCCACTCAGCTAAAACTTCGAGACAACGCATCTGGCCGAATATAGGTTCCGGGTCCTCTGGCTCACTCTCTCTGCAAAAATCCGACCGATCATTCTCAACAGTTCTACTGCCTTAGTTAACCATTGCCTTAAACAATTGGTGCCCGGTTTCGAATAAAAGTCACCTAGTTGTTTCTTTGCTTTATAGGTAAACATATAATCCTTTGCTTCATCGAGGAAACTCGCCTAACAAAATTGCTTATATTCGTCGAGAACCGCTAAGTTTCAAACCAAACGATAGTCTAAGCTCGCTAGTCCATCATAGGACATACCGATTAGTTTGAACATATTTGCAGAGCTGGATGGTGATTCTTAACGGCAATATAACTTTGGAACTTACCTTGCCATCCGGTACTCATTGAGAGCCGCTTCCCAGTCGTGAAGCTTCTCGTACCAGCCTCCACGCACCCTCAATCGACCTTTTAGCTTTTTAGCATATTCCAACACGCCTGCAGCGCCCTCTGGCTGTTGGAGCTTATTATTGATCATGATAAGTGATTCAAGGACTTCAGGTTCACTGGCTTTGTTCTTCTGAAATTGCTGCTCGCGGTAACGTAGAGCCTTGGCATACGCGCGACTTTCAAACGCTTTTCGTGCTAACAGATTCACGTCACTAAGTAGAGTGTCATAATGTTCGATAAACTCGTTAAGATTGAGGATCGCATGCGTGACCTCGGGCACGGCCTGAATCGTCAGTACCTCTTGGAGGGCGGTGATAACCCGTTGCTTTTGCTCCTTGTTCAGTTCCAGCCAGCAGGAGAGGAATGCAGTGTTAAAGAGTTCCCTGCAGAACGCAATAAAATATGTTATCCTATAGACAAAGACTGTGTATATATCCCCTCTGGCGAGCAAATATTATTTATGCTAATAAAAGTTTTAGAGAAATCCGTACTCCGTAAAATATAGACGGAAATAAGTGTCATGGGATAAGACGGAATTAAAGTAATTCATGTATGCGAAACCTATTTTTCTCAACAGACAAATTATTAATGAAGATAATTTATCAGGAAGTTATCTTTATAGAGAAACCAGAAGTAGACGCAGAGTTTTAACGTGAGCTGAAAATTTTTAAAATGAAAAATTTCATCGCGCAATTATTTGAATGCTATCCACTCTGCATTAATTCAACACACATATTTGCTCAAACTTATGGTTTGAGCAAATATGTGTGTTGAATCAATGTATATATAAAAATGAAGAAAAAAACTCCATACATACACGCGAAACGAACGATGGATGACAGATAACAAATATTTAAGTACTTGCCTATGTATAGGTGAGATATACGTGGTGACTGTACCACACCAACGAACAGCTCTGTCAGGCGCTTGTGACAGAGTGATCAGCTGGACAGAATCCAGCCACGTTAGCCAGTCTTCGGTGAGGACGTGCTTATCAAAATGAGCTGTCAACGTCACAATGAACTCCTCGCCGACGCGCTGTTTGTGCGTCACCGACGGATTTTTTTCTTTTGACTTTTCACGCAATTCACGCTGACGATGCGGAATAATGCCTGTGTCATCGTCGACGAGCGTTGACTCTTCGAGCACCTGCAATCAGACCACAGGAGAAATCAAATTTACGGCCTAATCGAATTTGAAAATACGTAAATGTGGCACATAACATACGTTGTGAACTTTGTTGTCGTTCAAATAGCTAATTGCTGACGATATACACGTACACTTTTTATGCACACAAACCGTGTTTGTTCAAACCGTACATTCTTCTGTGTAGTTGACCTTTCGGCACAGGTGAGTTTCTTAGCTGAAATTAAGGAGCGGTAGCTCACCTTATTACACATCGAATCGTAGATGTCCACTCTTTTAAGGCCTCCACGATTTCGTTTAATCGCTTCATCCACAGTCTCCTTGAAAATGCGGAATTTCTTCCTCAGTTGACACACCATCATCGTCATCAATGCGACGGCTTCCTACCCGATATCCGGAACAATCACATGAAGGTCACGTCAAATTAGACGGAAGCACCATCTCACGATATGACAAGTTCATGCTTGCAGGTTGTGTCTACAGCGAACGCTTGCCGTTGCACCGCTTTACTGATAACCTACTACCTGACTAGTTGCGCACTCGGCTCCATAACTAAGCAGGGGTTTAGTTAACGGTTCAGGCGGTAAAAATCGATAAATAAAACTTTACGTTGATGACCACTACTTAATCACTATAAATACAGAAGCCTATATATGTATATATATGTATACTAAGAGAGAGGTTGCCTAAATAAGCCGATTGCGAGACGTTGGGCGGTGTAACTTTTTTGGCAATGACAGACGTCGCCACTCACATCCTTGAGATCGGTCGAACAGGGACTATCAATAACGCGAATGAGTCCATGAATGATCATCGAGCCGAATTGGCTTACATCCAGGGTGTCAGCCAATTTATCAACGGTCATAATGGCCTTCTTTCTTAGGGGCTCGTTGTCGGCCGGCTGCTCAAAAAGTCGCACGAGTGGAGGCAGTAGTAAATGTAGATATTCCTCGAGCGTGCAGCCAAGGACGACCAGTGTATCAAGGAGTTTGTCTGTGACCCGCCGATCTTGACTGATATCGTTGGCAAGAGCCTTCAGTGCGTGTGGTAGCAATCGTGGTATATAGACCTTAAAGTCCGAACCTACAAACATTAAAAAGTTATCAAACTCCATGCTACTAAGTCGACTTATAGCACATTTCGAACTAAGTAAGAAGTATAACATTTCCCCCAAAAATATATAGTGGCATAGAGATATTGCGACTTTCTTACTAATACTATAATCCTTTAACAACATTAAATTCCTCCGATTACTTTAACATTTTTTTCTCATATAAATTAGATTTCGCCCCATGGGTAAACAGTTTTATTAAGACATTTACCTTCTGACAATAAAGAAAGAAATATAGTACATGTTACATGACCTTCTGTTAGCTTAAGGAAAAATATGATATTGATGACGCGAAGAGCACATAGAACAAAGGATTCCGAACCTATTTACCCTTTTTCAATACGAGTTAGAACGCTGTTGATTAGTTAAGTGAGGATCATAACAAAGACCGCTTCGTTTCTTATACTCTAGCTCACCTGGGTTTAAGCCATATAGTCTACCACATGATTTATTAGATATAACATGCGATTTTTGACTTTACTTAAAACGAAGCAGCATTGCAAATAGGAAAGACCTTTAAACTATAATCCCAACTTATACTCACCAAGAGCTCTTACGAGTGTCTGTACAAGGTCCATTACACCGGGGTCCATCGGCGAGTTGACAACCCACACTTCACGAGTACAAGCAAGAATTTCGTCGAGAAAGGTTGAAATATGTTTTCCCACGACTTCAGTCATACTAATAATGGGACCTAATTTGGCCTCCAGCTTGTGTGAACACTTTCGAGGGATGACGGTCAGCAGAGCTGGCAACAGCTGGGGCAAATAGGGCACAACCCGCATTCCTACATAACCATTTGATCACAACAAGAAATTGATATGGAGAATCAGGTTAGATATACAGGTTCTTCGTGTAGGGAAGCGAATATACTTGTGGCAAGCAATGATATTTCAAATAGATGGCGAATAAATGCACCATCACTAACATCTTATTACTAATGAAATGTCCACGGAAGGATTTTTGTTTGAACATTTGTTTGATGGTGAACTACTAAAAAAAAATTGAAAATTGTACCATCATATCAAATACGGTGAAAACGACACCCAGAAAGTGACTAATGAATGATGCTAACCAACTTCGTTGATTAAGCTGCCAAGCGACCGAGCTATAGCACAGCAACAACTGTCTTGCTGTTGATCTAGTAGCATCTTAGTGAGGGACATGAGCGTCATCGCTGAGAAGAACTCGTCGAGGTTGTTCGAATGCTGAACGAGCAATTCGCTGGCGTGGGACGATGCCCCTGTTCCCACGGCGCCAACGGCACCAACTCCCCCAAACGAGTCTCCGCTGTCGTTCGATAACGAGAGAACACCTCCTGTCACGTCCGACTCAATGGCGCCGATAATCAATTTGTGCTTGAACGGATCTAAAGCCCCAAGTAGGCCAAGTGCTCGAAGCACTTCGCGTTTTACAGTCTGACTCTGTCCCGTTTCAAGTATATGCAGTAGATTGCCCATCAAGTTCGGGTAACGCTCGTAGGGCACAACCACGAAGCCAGTTGACTCGACCAGCTGAGCTAGCGTCCAAAGGGCCATATCGCGTTTCTCGATCGATACGTGTTCTTGCATCATATCAAGAACGATCGGCATTAATTCCTCTAGGTACTGACTCATTTCGGGACCGGAAACTTCGGCCTGTTCGCCAACGGCACTCATTACCGCTACCGTTACGCCAACTGTTTGTAGATTCTGCGTTTGATTTGTGATTTTTGGCAACAGTACGCTTAATACGGGTTGCATATAAGGTTTGACTAGTTTTGGCGCGCTTGACAACAAATGAGCAAGCATCTTTGCAGATTCTTCTGTATTTCGTGACATTCCAGAGTATTCGAGTTCAGTGAGGATTTGAACAAGCACCTTACGTAAATGTGGCATAACATACGCCGGATTTCGCGTACTCAAACGTCCAATAACTATCAGGGCTAGCTCACGGATTTCAAATACCTCATCATTAAGAATGAGGAATAGTGCATCGAGATGTTCAGCCTGAGCTAGATGTTCATCAAATCTTTCCGTTAAGGACTCAAGTACGCATCGGCGGACCTCAGCATCCCGATCGGTCACTCCAGCACTCATTAGTTTCGACAATACGTCTTGTACAGTGCACATTAGCGTGGTACTATATTGCTTTGCTTGCCTCATATGATATAGCTTCGGAGATAGAATCAAGCAACACGTTCGTACTACCTCGAGTCGGATTTCCGCATGCTCCGAACCAAGACAATAATTTGCGATGTGCTTGATAAATGGCAACAGGGAATGATCTTCAAAATCAAACTGACCCAACGTTTTCAGGGCCTGCACCATGACAGCAGGCTCTGTGTAAGATTCAGGCGGACTTTGCGTACGCATCGGATCTCCGGGATGTGTCAAAGGCCTCTTCATAATAATTCGAGAAATAACATCAAGCAGGCCTCTTTGTACTTCTGATTTGAGAGATGGAATCCTTAAGCAAATCTCGTTCAGAGTTCCAGTTACGTGCGCCGTTAGGGGTGCTTGTAGAATGGGCGGAAGAAGCGCGATAATCTCTTGTTGAATGCTGGGTCCTTTGACGCGAACCAATAGAGAGATGCACGCGAACACAGCTGGTTCAGGGACGCCACGATCTTGGCGCTTCTTACCACCGCCTGGGTATTTTGCGTTGGCTTGGAGTGCTTCGGCAATTGTTTCGACAAACGGACGCGGGTCACCCAAGTGTTCGTCGCCAACAGCCAACGCGAGCATGCCTACAGATATGAAGGCATTGCCACGATCCTTCTCACGTTTCAGACACTGTTGAAGGTACACTAAGCTTCGATCGAGGTATTTCCGATTGACGAAAGGTTCCGGAGCGAACGCAGCCAGTCGCGGAAGAAGTTCCCATAGGGCCTTATGGATGTGAACGTTTCGTTGGGTCATTTGTCGCACGACGTGTGAGCAGATATTTTCAAAGCGCTCCAAGAGGAGACTTTTGCAGATTTTGCTTTCCTTCGTTGGAGTAATATCAGGTCGAGCGGTAACAGTTACCATATTACGTGATTGCTTCGGCCGCTTTTTGTACTTGAGCACAAATTTGTTAAAATTATGCGGGTCTTTTTCCTTTGGCCAAACAACGGGACTATTGCTCACGATGTCTTCAACCTTATTCATCTTTTGCTCCCACTCTAGGTTGGAAAAACGGAACAGCTCGTTAAGGACAAGCAAATTTCCATGGATCAGATTTTCCCGATTAAGACCTTTTGAGGTCGGTCCGACGTCTTTTTGTGGTGATGTATCTGCGAGCGCTGCAAGGACTTTGTCCAGACAGTGATCGTAATATGGCAAGCGTTGTCTTTCCCGAGGTTCACGGACAACGATGATTCGGAAGATTGCGCTTAGGGCCTGAACGGCGTTTTGACGCAGCTCTGTCTGCGGATGCTCAATAGGCAAGAAGATCGTATCAAAGAACCGTCCCAGAAACTTTGAGAAGAAAGTTGGATTGACCGTGGCTAGCTCTTTCAGCACAAGCACGGCGCTCATCGGTGCCACGTTACTGGGGGGCATATCTTTATCCGTCTCGAGTGACATCAGCGTGTCGAACGACGCCTGCACCTGGGTTTCGTAGTAGGGCTTTGCCGCGTTACTGGTATAGCTCTGCACTAGCATACCTAGCGCTTTGGCAGCCTGAACAATTACGTCGACATCATTGGATTGTTGGGCCGTTTTTATATAGCTTGAGTAGTGGGCGATGGTAGCGAGATCCGAGATTTGTATGAGGGCCATGATCGCCTGCATTGCCCCACGTTTCTGATGATTTTCTGGGTGTGAGACCATTTTGAAGATGTGATCTCTGAATTCTGAAACAAATGCCGACACCTCTTCCTGCGGGAGCGATCGAAATTCTGAGTTAACAAGCCTAGTTAGTTCCTTAGCAGCCGCCAGGCGCACTTCATCTTTTCTGGACTTTAGCCTCTCAACGAAAGGTGCAACACGGGCGGCCATAGCGTCCCCCGCCACTCCCGAGGACACTGAAACGAACACACAGCGAATAAAAGAATAGTTATGCATATGTGTTATTAAGTGCTCCATCCATGATGCGTATGCTTACATTTTATAGACTCGGCATCTAGCGCTTAGTGGTGACTCATTCATCTCTAGTAAATATATAAATATATATACGAAACATTCAGTGAAGTATTGGAATAATTAAGCATTCTATATAAGAGTGCAGAGATTTTCAGTTATTATAGTGTATCCCTATACATAAGAAAGAAGGCGTAAAGCCTACTGAGCTATATAGCAGACACTAGCCCTGCAACTGCTTGTGGCAACGTAAAACCCACTTGACAAACATATGACCACAAATATAGGTAGGTCTACAAGCAGGGAAACAATACATGTGGTCTCCGTAAAACGATAAAAAAAATCTTACGTTTTTAAATTACTAAAATAGTTTAAAATTTATGTACCACACATACATTCGCTTTATTAAAAGATAATCTTAAGAGAAAAACAGATATACTAATATAAGTAATTAATAATAAGGATAATAGTCAACTTACCTAAGGCGAACACTTTTAGAAAAGCTTGCACAAAACTTTATAACGTTTTGGCGAGCCGTCCTGATCGGAATTACGGACGAACACTAAAGTTTCAGATTTGACAGATCTTCTAAGACCTTGAGACTCGTACACTTCTGTGTACGAGTCTCAAAACCAAGATTTAACTGACGTTACGTAATTCTGTGTAACGTCCACAAAAATCAACTCGTATCGCCAAACAATTTTTGCTTTACTCCTCAGTGGAAAAAGATGTCTATTTTAAATACAAGCTGTTCTAATTTTACCTTTGCGAAACATGGCTAAAGTATCTGTGTCAGTCGGACAGTCACTCGGACTAAGCAAAAACGACATTATATATCTATACACTTCTACATGTAAACGGGGTGTTATTGAAAATGCACGCTTTAACAGTAGGCGCAACACAAAGCTGTCATAGTTTTGTAATATCATAATTTCTGTTAATCTTATTCCAAACCAACACGTTATAAAAGAAGCTGCTACTTCATTACTATACAATAGCTTTTTAAAACGTATTTTCTTCTTTATGTGCAACTCTTGCCTGTTAGAAATATTAGGGCTCTCACTACTCTATGAACAGGCGTAATGCGATAGTTATGTTTACATATTTTTCAAATGCAAAATCATCTTCGCTTCACTCAGTGCATACGGGTACGCATGCATTTGATTATAAAAAAAAGTGTTTCTTTTAAGTCGATTTACAAATATATGTGCTACAATAGAGACATACATTAAAAACTTGTTTGGCACGGTGATTATTACGTGCAAACGTCCTTGCATTCAGTTTCCCATCCCCTCTTCATGACTCTTCTGCGATTTCGATGTACTGTGAGGTTTCAGCTCGACTAATAAATGCTGTGCTTTGACTGCTCAGTTCTTCCATTGTGCTTTATTGCCAACAAAGCCGTTTAGCAAAACAGCACAGATCAGGGAGAAACATAACACTACCATACAATGAAAATAAAACGCAAATAAAATCAACAAAGGTGAACAGCTCCTCAAGGTACAAAACAGTATTGGCTTAAACACTTCTTTTACGTAGCAGCGATCCGAACAGATGACACTCTCAATGTTTCGACACTTACTTTTCATTCACGGCTTAAGTTACGTAGTTCATGAAGAAGGCTTGCCGGGCCGGGGAGTTCTGTAGGAAATGTTCATCAATTAATAAACAATCCACTAGTATTTAGCTTACACGGTAAAAGAAACGAACTCTGCTCTTTGTCCACGATTGATAACACCGTTCAGCGCGATTGGACAGATTGACACATCGAAATTGTTACACATGACAAACAAACAAAATGAAGGCCAACAAATCTTCAGCGGGTCGGCCTATGAATGAACATCGTGCGGAATGCTTGATAGAGTCCATTCGTGACACCATTGGCTAAGTTAATTTATATTAGTTCGATCAAAATCCTTCCTTTAGCTAAATTTGTGTATTCTGCACCCCCCAAAACAACGGAACACACTCCACTGTCGAAGACATTTTCTCTTTTACGGCATGCGTCCGCGCGTGAATCCTACACACTGAGAAATTCATTCAAACCTGACCCTCTTTTATCTGTGTCAATCACCTTTCACGCTATCACCTCTACCTGCCAAAGGTTGTTTAGCCTAACAGAGATACGAGATCATGTTTGCCTTACCGCAGCTACCCCAGGCAAAACGACGCCCGCAGAAAGGTATCAGGGGCTATCTGGAGTCTTGGTATTACGACCCCTTCCGCTGGCAGCTGTTGACATCGTGGGGTTTTTTCTTTGGCGGCATCTACTTTGCCCAGGAGATTGCCCAAATTAATTTGAGCCTGCCACCGACCGCATAGATAGACGAAGACCGTACGGATAAGCACATCGAAAACAGAACTGCAGAAGAACATCAGGAGTATCTGGCAAATCAAGTCGTCTATCCGTAATGTAAGTAGTCAAATATCAAACTCATACCTATTGGCTAATGCGGTGACCTAAACGGTCGATCTATAGGACGTGAGAATAAGCCATATCTCTCGATAATCTAAGCATTAACTATTTAGCATTTGAGGAGGATCCAGTAACGAAATTTGGATGTACGAGTTAATCAGACATCATAAAAACTGACTTGCTCCCAAATCTTCTAGACTAGTGGAAGATGATGTGGGGTTACGATTGTTACTGCTATAAATACCTGAGTATATATGAATATTATATATTAAGAATACATTCGTTTACTAAAATCAAAACCTTGAATTTCATGTCCCACTACAAATGTCTAGCACTAAAAGAGAACAGAGGTATTAGTATAAAAAATTGATCAATCGCTTTAGAATCTAGTTTTAATGTCGTATAAAACTATGTTTGTCGCATAAAACGCGTAGAATATATTGTATATATTCTGTAATGCTGTAACACGCCATAGCTTGTTATTAGACGCAAATGTCCATTTGTATTAGCTCGAAACATTATCGCATTTTATAACGGTTGAACTAATTCTATGAGTTTTATTGGATCAATATTTGTTCAAAGGTACCTTGTTAACACGAAGATAGACGATTCGGCTCGTATTTTTTGGCGAATTTTAACTTTTGATTAAATTAGTATTTGACCTGAACCAGTCGCGCTAGTATTATGTGTTTAAAAAAACCTGAAATGAGAAAATATTTTTAGCACGCAGTCTAGTAGTGAATGTTTTATTTTATTTTGTTTATAGATTTTAGGCGCTTATTCGTCGGTGAGAGACGGGCCTCGTTTGCTTAGTTCGGTAATGTAAGTAATTTAATAACGTTGGCTGGATGAAGATGCTTGCTAATTATCGAATATGATAAAGCGTTAATGCTTCCACGATTTGTGCCTTTGGTTTTACAATGAAGTTGTCTTACTGACGCTAATTTACCTTCACGTTGTGTTGTTGCAGATGTCAAATTACGAATGTCGCTATTTATCAACCAGTCACCAGCATCAATGTGGTTTCAGTACAACACTGCAATGTAGCAAGTATACATGAAATGGAAATAAGGGGAAATTGTTTTAATAATAATATATTTTAAAGGCCGCATTCATAGTTGTTTTCAATAAAATGATTTTGTTTTATCTAGCAGCATGTTACGTGAGTAGCTTACTTGAGTGGGAGCCTAATGCGTCAAATCGCATCTCTCTAGAGGCAATACTGCTAGGTATCCTGCGTTTTTTTCTATGGCCCTCAGCCAGTCGATCTGAGCTGCTACTGTGGCTGTAGGCTAATGGCCGTGATGCAGCTACTTCGAGCAGTTGACGGCTAGAATCCATTAATCAGTGAAATCTTTTTATCCTTTTGATTTTCTTCCCTCACGTCGAGATCGAGCCGTATCAGAATTTAGTAGATGGGAACAAAGTCGTTACGTTTTACCGATCAGTCAAGATGCCTTTTGAAAACAAAGGCACCAGAATTGATCTCCGTGATTCAACCTATCGCGCGCCATACACCTGTGCACAAGCTTCCTTTATGGTTCATCTGGATCTAACAAGAGTTCCAGTGAAGGGAAAGAATTATTTATGATTTAATTAAGTTGTCGAAGAATAGTTACCGTTGAATTCCGGTCGAGTTTTTTTTTCAATTGATCGACTTCTTAATTAATATTAAAAGAGAGAAGATTCCAAGCAACAGACAGCCGCTTGAACACATAGGAACACACAACTGAAATTTGGCACTATATGCATATATATATATATATATAAATAACAGGTCGCATAGCATAATGAATATTTTAAACTTTCTCACAGGCTTTGTTTATTTGTTTTCAATAGAAGTATACGCCACGATAACCTTATTCTTCTTCTACCATTTGGATGGTATATAAGAATCTACAATGCGTCGAAAGGCAATTTCGACGTTATGCTGAGATATATATTTGTTTTATTAGAAAGTTCCCGGAAATACAAAAAATATGGTAATCGTCGTGGATGATAAAGACTACGTCTTAAACTCCCGCATTTTTGCCACCGTGATTCTCGTAATGTAAGGTCGAGCGTGGTGCAATAGGAGTGATTAATTTTTGTTCACTTATTTTGGCTGCTTTATGCGAAGATTTTCACCATCCTCTTTTGTTGCTGGTAGTACACTTTAGTTCTGATCGACGAACAAACACTTTTAACCTGTAATGGATAGCATCTGCTTTAGACTATCGAACAGGCTTTTGTAGCATTCAGTTGTGTTCATTTAGTGGCGTAACGACCTGCCATTGGAATCAAGTATATTCCCGCTTTTTAATTTTCCGCTCAAATCCGTGCGGCACCCATTTTTTCAGTTTTCTGTCTTAATTTGACCAAAATGAACGAGCACGGTAATTTTACATACAGCAAACCTGAGTGCTAACATCAATGCACTTTGAGATAGATCGGCTTCTATCATAGTTCACAACTCGTCGTTACATAAGGCTAATTTCTTACTTCAAAATTTCCTTTCCAAAGTTTTTGAACTATCGGTTCACAGTGTTTCTGACAGTAGAACCTTTATCGAATACAAAATCGACTGTTTCCGTCGCTGTAGTTTGAATAACGCTGGGACTCACATTAGTAAACCACTTGAATTTTCATATCTTTCAGGGCTCATTAGAATCCCTATAACAAAAGCTTGAGTAACTATATCTGGGTAAACAATCTCAGTTTTCAAAAAGTCCAAGTGCATCTCTAGTACGGAATAAGTATCGTGAAATATCGCACCATTAGATAGCGTCATCTTGACATATTTGTCACGTTTCATACTGGAAGATGTATATATATATTAATAGGCTAGGTCGATTACCGGAGACTGCCAGCTAGCGGATAAAACTCTTATATACGAGATGCGTCCGAACTAGAAATTGCCGTTTTTAACATCAGATTTCCTTGTCAAGCTCGTACTACACATAAATCATTGTGGAAACCTTTTTATCCTCAAAATCAGTCTCGGTATGACCCAGACGCACAAGGTATTCTTTAAATTACACAACTATGATTCATAGAGAGCCGACCACAACTGAATTCATTATATAGCAACAGCTCCTCCTACCGTTCTTCTTTTTTCCTTAAACACATGCTGTTTTTAAACGCTTGTATTGCATTACAGGCTTATGAGTATAGATTGGGTGGACACTGCACGTAGCAGAAGCGTCGCATAAGGCCATGCTGGCGTAGCTAACTAACTGTAGCGTCGAATTGATACCGAAATGGAAGTGTGATAAATAACAATATTATACATATTAAAATAACAATATTTTCTAAATAAACGCCTGTATTAACAAAAAAGTTTTAAAAATAATTATCCCAGATAAAAATCACGCACGGCTTTAGTTTAAAATATGTTGTCATATCTTTATATATAGAATATTAGCCCCACCCATATAATCTAACGTCAATCGTAACTACATATCAACAGAAATTGAATGTAATTTAAATCTAACAGGTTTCTATAGGGAAGTAGAAGTAATTTTTAGTGGAATTGCAATCGACCAAAAATTTCTAAACGACCGTTTTTCTTATGCGTTTATCCTATCTCGACTCTGCACATTTTTGTGTCTCCATATAGAGCAAATTTTTGTCTGTACTTTCTGCGTGTCTGGCTGTGGGGGCAACTTTCTCCTTGTCGCGGCATGGTACTTTCCTGTTTCGACGGATCCCTTTAGCATATCGATTTCGCTAGTACCTTCAACTACGTTTACAACGTGGTTTACCACAGTGATCGTACCCAGGTCAAGCAGGCTGTGCAAGTTATTCGCAATGAAGTTAGCTATAGCCGGCACCGCACCAGTTACAAATAGCTTTTCGATCTGATCACTACACATCTGCAAATGAGACTACTAACTATTGGGCACTATTTAGGCACGTAGTAAGGATTACGACAGTCTTACTACAATTATCATATGTCAGGAAGAGTCACTGGACAGTATTTTAATTAAGATTGTATTTGGTTCTACAGTGTTTCTCAGTGCCACGGCGATTGGCTTTAAGTAGATGTGTAGGGCGGTAAGCAAAGCTCCGCGCGCGACAACAACTTGCGTCTGATGATAGCTTATATACGCATACGAACATGGGTGGGTACAAAGATGTCGTTGATATCCGATCACACGATTATGTCCAGCAGGCAGCAGAACTGTGTCTGTGTCTACCATTTGTTTGATAAACAACCAACTTGCATGTTTGATTTAGTATTATTTACAGGACTTAATGGCGATCGACCCGAACGAGTGTGCACCATCCACAACGTACACAAAATTGCATGACGAGACGAATACTTCTAGGAAGAAATGTTGGCCTTTGAGCTCCTTCTTTCTGTAAAGTGAAAACATTCTATTCTTGAATGGATTCATGGAAATTACACTGAGCATTCTCTCTCACAAACTTCATTGTCAATATAGTTGGTTAGAGAAAATTATCAAAACAAGTCTATCAAAATGCGTTAAAAGTTAACTTGGGGGGTATGAACATAACCCCTACGCTAAAACACCATTAGATAGAGAGGGGTTTAAGCCGGTTCTTTCTAGGAAACTACTGCCAATGTCTGCCCAATGAAAAATGCCGAAATTGTTTAATTGAGTGGAATTCATTTTAAACTTCGCTAAGTAGATCACAAAAACAACATTTTGTACAAACCTATTTCTGTGAAAACACAAAAATAGTATCATCTTGGGGTGGTTGTGATTCTAGCTGTCCCAGCCAGGCTACTCGCGATATCTAGGTGCGTAGTATTTTTCAAATGTGCGATACATTTTGTACAAATATACACATCATTTGCTTCGTAAACATTTATGGCAGTATATGGCTTATGATAAAAGCCATGAACCGTGCACCTGGTTACAACACGGCAATTAGCGGTTCAGTACAATCGATGCGTTATTTGTAGATCTTTACACTTGCTTCAGTGAACTTGCCCTTCTAAGTCACGAGACATTCCCTAAAGGCAGGTGTAGGCGGCAGGTTGAAACGTCATTTCAAGTTCTCGATGCACAAGGATGTCCCGACAAGGAGGTAAACTAGCCGATTTCGTGCCGTGTACTGGAGTCCAGGAACATGCTAAAGATAGACAGCTTCGAGTTGATTAAGTTGTGTTAAAGAGTTCCCCTAGATGATTCTTATGCTATAGGCCGGTACTAGGTCGAATCGCCAGAAGGTTTTAGCGACTGAAAGCAGGTAGGAATTTCTGGTAATTAAACATCGATACGTGACGCGCGATGAAAAACTTCTGCTGTTGAATTAAAGAAATAGCCCGAAAAAGGTTCGTAAATGACATTCAATAGAGCACGCCTTGGGAGGGAATTTGCCCTCTCTTCCAAGTTTCATCGCCATTGTTTTCGTCAGATTCACAGTTAAGCCGAGCTAAACTGAGACTACACGTTGTCTAGCTCACGCTTACTAAACTTGGAAACGGCTGCCTCCATGCACGACTTAGTCGTCAGTGTACAAGATTATCTTCTCAAGGTTTTTGGGCCTTTGCGAATGAAAAGAATAATGGTCGCACTTTGAGTTTTTGCTATCGGCTAGCAGAGCCCTACAAGACGTCCTGAAAAGTCGGTTGATTTCGAAATCCGTGCTGCTCCTCCGGTATAACACTAGATATCTCTTGAGACTGACTTAGTCTTGTTGTTACCAAGGATTTTTCCCATCCGACACTACGAGGTTGAAAGTTATGGTTCTTCTCACTTTCAGGGATGACTAGGCGATCTGTCCCCCTAGATAAAACGTTCTTTCAAATATATCCGTCAAACAGCGGCGTCCAGTAAAGGATTACGATTAGAGCATACCTTCGTTATTCATTCCTTGTATCCGAACCCGTATTTTACTCGAATGCAGATCTAAAAGAGCTTAACGATGTCCGTTATTAAACAATCAGCCTCGATAATGTTCTTTCATCGTTGATCGTTTGCTCCCAGGACCCCGAGCATACGCATAAATCTCTTAGTTTTGAATCGTTCAGTTCAAACATAGTGACAAGATAGTCGGTTAGAATCGATGAGTTGATCGGCCACGAGGCTGAAGTCCGTCGGAAAAGGCACTTGTATGGCAGGCTCTCAGTTTTTCAATTCAGATTTATTTCTTGCTACACGGGGTAACTTAGTTATTGCGAAGCATACTTCCTGCTGATAATTATTATATGGTTAACAGATCTCATTCCGGGCTACACCTCCGCGAAAAGCCTGCCCTCTTTCTGGCGTCTCCAGGTAGAGCAACAGAATTCGTTAAACTATGAACAACGACCTTAACTCCTTGCTAGCCCATGACGCTGTAGGTACTGCTCTAGAATATTGTTTTGTGTTTTCGATATTGACGAGATCCCGCGTAACAGCACTTTGACAACGAGCTCGCTTAGAGTTTTGAAGGTTCCAGCATCGCGGAAGAAACTTTTTCCTTTTTTTCGGAAGTAAACATAAATCGCAGGTGTAAATCTATAGCAATGGGGAAGGTCACCCACCTGGTTCTTATAGAAAACTCAAACTCTACCATTAGCGCACCTTAGGCCAGCATTTTGTTGAGCAATAGTAAAAGCCCTGCAACTCAGATCCGGTTGTAGCCCTGGTTCTAGTCAGCACTAAAAGATCTATGACTTCCAGTGCTGAAGGTACGAAAAGCAACATCATTACCGCGCCTCCACAATTCTACTCAGCTTTTCAACATTTCGAGGATTTATGACCTCTGTCATGCAAGCAACCGTCTTTTCTAGTTCGCTACTGGGCGCCGGGGCATGACTCTGTATGGGCAATCATCCTGGGCAAAGCTTGACTTACCAAAGCACCTTGAGCATCGGTACCTATGGTAAAGAGGAAGAGTATAACCACTCCTGCAAGCCTGCATCAAGATGAGGCAAGCGGCGCCGAGGCTACTGCGACCGTGAGGTTAGTTTCGATGTGAGAAACTCATTACTGGTAAAGCCGATTTGTAACGGAGACTGAAGCGCTAAGGGTGCCGGAAAGAGTTGGCTATATTTCATCTTGTGACTTTCGCATGCTTTTTTTGCAGCTTGTTACGGAATGTAGTGTTTTCATTTTTTCCTAACCCTTCGAGTTTTCGCATCTAAAAAATCTTGACCCCCTTTGGCAACGTGATTCACGGTCTTTTCAGCTATTTCACCTTGGTAGCTGCAGCAACGGCGGTCGACCACGTGTCGTCGGGCGATAGTCAAAAGAAGAAATGAGAACGGAGAGTTTATTCAGGCACGTTTTGAGTCAATGTGTCATTAGCTGCTTTACAATCAGCGGAGACAGTGGTACAGATGACGCATTTACCTCTGATGTGACGATGGAGACTTCAACTTGGAGCCAATTGTGCCAGCCACATATATGAATACATCCTTTTGAACTCCGTGCATTAATGATATTCTGTTTGTAGAAAGATAGCCACCATGTCGCTCGTACTTGCTATGTATTTCTCGACCTGTGCTATGACATTACTGTCATACTTGTTCTTGAGACTTCGCCGAATTAAGTAATCCCCAGCCCTTGAGTGACCGGAGGCACCCTTTAATCTGCCCCCCAGGTCTGTTAGAAAAGCCAAAATTGAAGCTTTGGGGCCATCTAATACCTCGGTGCGCCAGTGCTTAGAAGCTAAAAAAGTTTTAGAGTGCGTCATATTCTGATTAAGTTGTGGTGCTCCGTTATGATCACTGCACGACGTAAGATTGAGTTGCAGGACCAATGATAGCCCCATCCCAGATTAGGCGTTTCTCCTCTGATTGGGTATTGATGTTATGCCGCCGCAGTGGGGCGATAATGATCATGCAAATGGGTTCAGTATATCTGGCTTTACGAATACCCTTAGGCAAACATCTATTAAGCATCGAATGAGGTAATAGCTGGTCTGCAGCAAAGACTTGCGCTAACTGGCATGTTGGTGTCGTCAATCCAGCTATCTATGGATGTTGATCTATGGATGTGTTGTCCAGCCATGTCCCAGGTCCTACTCGAACTGGCAGTAACAACTTGCTTTTAATTTTATTGTCAGTGCAACGCTCAATAGTATCAGACTCAAGGAAACCGTTGTACGAATTCTTTAGTTTTACCCTAGTTAGCCACCTTCAGTCATAAACCTTGTTTTGCCTCTTTCTAGGACATTCTATAGCATATAGTAGAGCCCGGCAAGTAAAAGAACATCCTTAATGAAACGCTCACGTTACGAGAGAAACTGCCAACAAGCCACACTAAACAATTCACAGGGTATACCTAAGGATGTAAAGCTTCCATTTCCGAAAATATAGGGCGTATTGGGAATAAATTTTATACGGAACGCTGATATCTAATATGTGATAAGTAAAAGCTTCTATGGATGCTAGCAGGAGTCGTTCTGGTACGACTGAAATTTTCTGTAAAGTATTTCTCGGACAGAAAATGGTGTACCGAAAAACTATAAGGAGATAGAAAGAGCCCGCTAGTAACGAGGTAAGAGGCGACACATTGTATCCTTGCTCTCTTATCATAGCGTGGTACCAAAGAAGTCTTGAAACATATCCGAGAAATATATACCGACGTTTCAATGCTATTCTACGTACTGCATTCTAGGTCGCAATACCGTGTGGAGCTTTACTCTGAGATACAGTTGTTGGGCCAGATCCAAATCTTCCCTAAGCAGAACTTCAAATCCATTTGTGATCCGACTTGCTTGAGGGTCTGCGAACGGATTGGAGGATCACAACAGTTTGGGTGTGCCTTAACTATGGTACTAACTAACTAATGTCCCTGATGGCCCAATAAGAGAAGGATACATCCAATATGTTCTACCTCGGACGGTTTATGTTAACCTTACGGTAGGCTCTCGGAGCCACTGCCGTATATAAGGGCCGCTAGATTGGCGTGAACGAAGGCCGAGAGTGATCTTTCTTTTTGTAACGTCTTTACAAGACATCGTTTGGTATTCGGAAGGTTTCTGTGTAGTTCTGTTGTTTTTTCTGACCACATGCTTGAGTACATGAGTTAGCTTTCAAAAATATCAAGAACGAGCGCTATTATCTATAATGAACTGCAGTTTTGTACCAAAATCAGATATATCCACCGCTTACAGATATTTCTTCGTTGGAAAATCTACAGATGAGCTTGACGTTTTCTCATTGACGGTTTTTTTTCATGATTTCGACATAGCTGTCTCAGACAGGAACAGTCATCCCTAAATGGACAATAAAGAGATAACGGCAGAATTATTTGGCTGGGTTAAATGGGCATGAATGTTTGTTTGCTTGCCTCTTTGGGTCTGTGTGTGCATGTGTGAAAAGTGATATTGAGGGAAAGACCAGATAATTCATATTGTAAGGTTGACTTGCATGATTTCGAGCTGTAAACCCTTGACAGTGGTTTTCAATTAGTGAATCAGTTTGAGCAATAAGGATACCATACATCTCTTTCTGTGAGCCCCAGACGTAATAGGGATCGACTTTGGTTAACTTAGTCATAGCTATAGGACTTATTGCAAAGGACGATTTGTGAGGGCCTTTTTAACGACCTGAGGCATCATGAACGATTTGATTAAAGCCTTTGACTAAGAAATGGTTTGCATTTTTATCCGGTATCACTTCTAAATATCATTTCAGGCACTTGAGCCTTAGCGAAAAACGAAATTTTGTTTATATTCTTATATATTTATCACACGTGAAGAGTTATATATATTTATATATATCACTTCACGTGTTTTCGATGGAATGGACAAGCACGTTAGCACCGCAATATAATAGAAACAAAGAGATGAAAATAACCAAACAAACACAACGAGGCCTCTTAAAGGCACATACGCGAACGGTGTTGCAATACAAAGTACCCTCGATAATTTGTGTGATGGGGCGGTTAGATTTGAGACTTTGCAAATCTGAGGGTATTTTCGGAGAGTTGAGGTCGGCCTAAGTTTGGCTAGGTGAATCTGTATGGAGGTTTTCTATTGCCTAAGTTCAGTAGCAACCTCAATTTGTTTTACGTAGTGTCGCTGCGTGGTATTCTACCTATGATATGCAGTAGGACAGAGTCCTGTAAGGCGGCATCAATAAACAAGTAGATGAAAGATACTGGCGACAGCATACAGGCCAAGAGAAATAGCAATGGACAAATTTAAGCGAGGGATAAGACGGCGAATCAATAGAAAAGTTGCCAGAGAATACCTATATCAGGACACTGTCTTTGTACAGATATCTTCTCTACTACCTAGGTTTCCGTTCATTAATTTGACGCTGTATGTCTCACGATATCCGAAACTCATATTTTGATCTGTCCTCACGTACTCGATACATATGAGAAAATATCTCACCTGGAACTGGTCTTGGAAGTAGTAGTCTCCACTCGAGGCACCATTAATGAGGTGAATAAACATGGTTTATAAAAGAAGGTAGTTGCCGTCTACCGATGAAAATGTGGAAAGGCACCCCCTAAACAGCACACTATAGACTTCAAAGCAAACGACTCACGTGAAGCTGGCCACCGACCTGTGGAATAACACAATCCGTATGTGAGGAAAATGTAAAGAAACACGAACGAGAAGACTAAAATAGAGCTATGTAAACTGAAATAAATCATTTAATGAACTTGGGACTACAAGAAAAACGGGTGAGACCTTCTCTAAACGTATTATTAACATTATAAACTGCAGCTGTACACGCATTTGTCTTATGATGCGGGTTTATTTAGATCTGCGTGCATGTTTATATTGCGGTTATTTTGTCGCATTTTATCCTAGGCATATCTTAACCCATAGTGTTACTATTATATCGGTGTTGTCATTTTCTGTCCATGTTTCAAATACTGAGTATACTTAAATCTTCCTGCACCACTCCGGCCGCACGCAAAGGTAGCTTTCTATGTAAATCGATATTGATCTTCTTTGGCCAGTTGCTAGCCATGCTTTGGATTTCTCATCACATGAACGACATCACTCACAGGTTATGGCACCCCCGATTAATCACACACCTCTATTATTTTTTCGTATTACTCGAACCCACATTTAGAATCTACAAGCTCTAATAACAGTCGCATCTGTAGTCATTACAGATGCGAATGTTATTAGAGTTAACCATCCTATATATATTGTTATTTATAGTTTAATATTAGCTAGTTCTGCAATAGCCTGCAGAGCTATATATATGTTAATCTAGCTTTATATAAAACTACGTCTTAGAATTTTTCCAACCAGATTTATATATAATAACGGACAATCAAACACGAACAAGCTTAACTATATTATCGTTTTTGACAAAAACGTCCTAAGGCTCTAATTCCGTTGTTCGTTTCTACCGTTTCGTTAGACACAGCTAAAATGTCTGAAGCATTTAAGAGGTGATTACTTATCATGTAGAATCTTGCAAATTAACAGAAAAGAGATATTTGTAGGAAATAAATAGTTCCATATAACAAAGTTTCAGACTATCATATGTATTTTTTAATTGTGCACACCGAAAATTGCTAAGTGTTTGAATATTGTGTGAATGTAAAGTACCTGCTGGTTGTTGGTACTGTAGGCAAATGGTGAGCTATTTTCCTAATCGCGTTGTTATCTCTAGCCAAATACGACACCCGTTCGAAAGCGCCCACTCGGACGGCTGGGGGAGTAAACGTTACGATAGTACATATGGAAATTCAGAAGAACTGTAAAGTGGAATCTTTAATCGACAGCAATTTCAGCATATGTAACACTTGCTCTAGGAAACTTGCTCTACTAACTAGTTTCTTGATTTAAGCGAACTTGTCGTATGTTTTACTGAGCAGGGGGTCTTTCGTTACATTGTACAATAGATGAAAAGGTGTCCGGCTTTTAACTTTTCAGGCACAACGGTTAGCAAGGGCCCCACCTGAGCAGATATTGGTGCTGCCGGACTTCAGATATGAGTCCTACATATTAGAAAAAGCTATACAACAAAACTCGCTTCTGTGGTTTATACCATATACATATGGTACATCTGAAGGGGTCAAGGCGCGTCTATACGTACACAGCATTTGAATTCATCCCTATACTGTTTGGCCTCTGAAACCTGATCATTCGATAACTTCTGACTCTTGTGCATGGCTTGCCGTCAGCTGGTGTCCTGTTGTACTTTTTTGCGCATCCTGAGCGAGGCAACAAATTTGGCAAAATCAATTTAACTAGTTTTGCCCCTTGCAAGTTTTTAACAATGAAAGTAGTTAACTCATACGTGCATAGCGTTATTCGCCTCGTATCGCATTATAACATAAATACGTTTTTAGTGTTTCTTAGTCGTTTCGATAAAAAACGACACGATTTACTTTTAAGTTGAACAGTGACTTTGGCGCTCTTCTTGAACACCTCCCGTTCTTCTCAGGTTCTTCGTGGTTGTCCAGTGTAGCATAGCATTCGGAAACTCTTGATTTGTTCTAAGAGTCACTTACAATTGTGCTGAGACAAATATGCAAGATTCAGTCAGAGTGTCATAGATGACCGCTACTGGTAAAAAATCAAGGGAAGATAAATTTTTAACGCCTACTTAACTGTAGATTTCAAACCTAACCAATTGAAACGAAACGTTGCAGGGAGCAGATAAGTGAAATTGTGTTTCCTCAGATAAAAAAAAACTTGTAGCAAATATCATATGTAAAGAGTTGTTTCTACTTTATTAGATACGTCAAATCGCAACAGTTGATAACGTAGAGTCTAGCAAGTTATGGATAATCAACTTTGCATAATTCAGAAGCAGATTTGACGTCTGGGGGAAGCGTCACAATTGCAAAGATATAATGAAAGTGTTTTCCTATGAAGAGCAAGCAGGGACGAAGATTAGTGATAAAACTGATTACGAACTGCTTTATCCATGGGTCGATGTATTTTTTTCTGTTAAAAATTTCACACTGTAAGCTAACGTTAACAAGCGAATTACAATAAAATTAAATTTTCACTTCCTCTGAACAGCACAACCGAAATAGACCCGCTACACCACGAGGTAAGTCTCTAACAGCTACTGGTTCTGAAACGTTTTAGTCATCAAGAAAAAAAACGACCATTCAAAATCCAACGTCTTGATATCGTTTGCTGTGTAAGACATTTCATCAAACCCCACACACAGCGGCAACTGCTTGTTCGCATATGGAAGATCGGCAAAACTTCGATTCCAGATACGCAGCACTAGCAGAGTTCAAGTTAGTCAAACCAGACGGACTTCATAGTTGATCAGAAACGCCTCTATGTCTTCACCACGGTGCCCAGCATGCTGCGTTGATTTCGATGAAGTATTCCTGCTCTTGGTGTTAGGCATACGGGTTCCTCTAAGAGGAAACTAAATTCACCTTGTTTGAAAACAGGACTAGTAGCCCGTTTTCTTATGTGAAAAGGAGGTGATTCTTCTGCAGTCAGGAGCGAAACTTAACTGTTTATCTTAAGTAATACGTTGAATGTCCACACTTTAATAACACGACAAATATCACACCCAATGAATTTTAGCGCATGCATGGTTGCCTCGCGATGCTTTGTTTATGATAAGCGTAAATAAAACACTCGAAGAGTTCTAACATGAGCCATCCAACTTGGCATCTCTTAATCAGGCCGTAATTGCTAATGATGAGACATAGAAAACGGTCTGTTAAGAGCCTTTAAGGTTAAAAGCTATTTGCATACATTATTTGAGATAATCTTTTTCAGGGCGCCCGTTTATGACCCAACTATCTACTGCTCAGAAAAATTGTGTAACTTGCACGCGCGGCGAATAAAATTGTCGGCTCAATTTAGGCCATTGTTATCGAATCATAATTTGCTACTGTTTAGTCTGCAGCCTGCTACAGCTGATATCCAATGTTCCACAATAGTCTTTCTCGCAGTGGCAGTTCTTTCGCTTCAGCAGTCACCCATATCTGCCGTTGACCGAACATTTTTGCGTGCCGCCGATCAAAATTTATCCCTTATTAATAAAATATATCTCGTCACATACCAAGGTAGTTAGTTAACCTTAATGAACATTTGACACATATAATTCGGCGAACCTCGAACGTCTTAGCAGGAAGAGTGTGATGACTGAACAAGTCAGATCTCTTTGTTGTGACGGTGGCACACATATATATTGTTTATTATTGAGCTTAGCTCGCGCACCTCATTGCTTCGTAGTTGCGTCCAACAGGCTCCAGAGCCGGAAGCACTCGATGCCGAGAATCGGCCAAAAACCTATTTCGAGCCTAGTACATGTACTCGTTTTCCTTTGAAGGATGCATGTGATTTAACTCGAGTCCGCCAGCAGCGGCAACATCAACAGCGACAACTCCATAAGCTAGTGTCAATTACCAGGCATGAGCTTCACACGCAGGTCCTTGTTTTTTCTTTCTTTGGATAGAGCTTTTTCTGAACATGATAAAAAAACCTTCAATTTTTCTAGGAACTTGAAACGACCAGCATCATGAGCCACACTATGGCAACGCAGAATCAGCATCATACCCCTCGCAGGTCCTGTCAGCAAACGCACCGCGTTTTATCAATGAAAGGTAAAGTCTTCCAAAGAGATCAACTGCGGTGCTTCGAGCATAGCTAGTTGTAATCTATGATTCGGTCTGTACAAAACACAGAAAAAAGCCCAAGGCTGAGAGGGGGCTATTTTTGGGGACGGCTGCAGCGCGAATTGGCGCTCCGCAATCTTGGTGTTGATGTTGTTACCGTGAGCTGATGATGCGGGGCGTCTTTAGCCGCTGCCGATCTGATCAATACATTATCTTGGGTGCACCATCATCTCCAATAACAGAAAGAGCGGAAGGCAGAAGTAGGCGTAGCAACAGAAGCAGCGGCTGCCATGGCAGCCGCAGTACTACAAGCGGCGCGTCCCCATCTCATCGACGACGCCATAAGTAGATAGACAAAGTGACCAAGTGACTGAAGTTACTGATGAACAAACGTCCACATTCATTCGTACGCGGCACTTACTCTTAGCGCAGCAAGAGCATTGCGATTAAGTGAGGCAGGGGTAAAGACGGGGAAGGTTAGATTAAGCGGTTGAGTTCAGGCCGTATGAGCCGAAACGCGTTCGATGTACTATTACAAGCTTTGCCCTGCTACCGCTGATTGCGACAGGTCTATTCTACGAACAACAACAGCAGAAGAAGCAGAAGTAAAAGTCAAAAGTTTGCCGTCACGTCGCGGCGTGTATTTGACACAGCCGGACGTAGCCGATCGGGGCGCCGCCGTTCGCTCTACTAGCTTGCAGCGGCTGCGGGAACACTACGGCTAATATCGCCTATAAGTGCCATCAGCAACGCCGCCACCAGCGCGAGCAGCAGTAGAAGAATCACCAGCACCACCAGTATTACTATTGCCGCCGACGCCACAGTGGCGCGCGAAGACCCCGCCCACCTTCACTTTGTCGCCCTTTCCACAAGGCCTCCATCGAGCGTCAGCCCTCTCCTTGCCGGCAGCGGCCAGCGCCGGCTGAGCTGCATTGAACTCGGGATCGTGACGCTCTGATTTGAACTGGACCAGCCGGCGACTGGCCGAAAGGACGAGCAGGACTTAGCCCAGCCAGAGCAGGCACGGAGATAGGCAGCCACTAGCGCGGCAGCTATAGCTAACAGCACCGGGAACAGCAACAACAGCACGAAGCACTATAGGCCGCAGCATTCGACCCGCCACTAACAGCAGGCGGTGACCGCACGAGCAGCAGCTACCAGAAGCCGGACCGCGAAGGATATGATGAACAACACAAGAGAACGAACGAAAAAGAGACGAATCGAGTAGTCATCGTAGTGAGTCTTTCTTAGCCGGCGTTGCTGGTGCTTTGCCACGGCGAGAGCCACTGCAGCAGCCCCAGCATCAGCAGCACAGGATCCATTGGTACCCGTGCTGGCTCCTACCCAGACGGCTACGACAAGCGAATGAACCCACGAACATACGGAGAGCCAGCCGGGACAGTTGGGAAGACAACGATCAAAAAAGATTTCGTTCGTGCCTGCCCGCCAGTGCGCCGAACAGAATAGCAAACGCAGCAGATATCTGGTGCCTGCCTGCCTGCGTGTGTATGTGTACGGCGCCTCCGCAGGTAGAGGGATCACTATCGCAGGTTTAGCAAGCTCGACGAGAGGGTTAGTCCGGCACGCAGTCTGACCGGCTGTACTGACTAGCTAGCTGATGATCGGCCGACTGGCAGATAGGCAAGGCAAGCTCATCCGGGAATCCTGCGGCGCACGCATGGAGTACATGGCGACAAACCACCGAAGGTCTACTACGGGCCGAACTCTACCATCGTCATCCGAAAGAATCGCTGTCATAACCATCATTAGAGGATAGAACAGAGCAAGGAGCTATCACACAGCAAAGCCCTAGCCATCCACGACCGTGGATGTTTTGTAGGTGTAAGCCTCAGTACGTATACGCATAAGACATGTTTCAAGTACTGGATATATTTTTTGTGTTCCAGGATATACCTGTTGATTCATGCGCTAGTGGGCCTGCAATTCGCCGCTGTGAAGTGCGCAACCGCCTTTGAAAGAAAGAAGAAGATTGCTATATTATCGCCGCTTCTATAAAAGCACGGCCTTCGTTAAGTGGCTGGTGTACTCCAGCCAGCCCAACGTGTAGTGAGCTTTTGTGCAAAAATTTTCAATAGTTAAAACTGAGGAGAACGAGTCAACTCTGTCCTAGGCTCACCGGTGTTGTTGTTGTTGTTGCTGCTGTTGTTGTTGCTGCTGACGTATTCACCTGTGCTCGTCGTATCGCCTCAACGTTGATCGTTTTTATACTTTTTGTGCGTTCGAATTTGAAGTGATATAGTGCGGATGCGGTCGTTGTTTTTGTTATGAAGTGAATCGGATTTTTTTGTTGTTGTCTTCTTTTTTGAATTTTTTCTGCCAACTCTCGCCCATTCACTGCCCTTCGTCAACGGATTGATCGTGATGCCCCTGGCAGTTCAGGGGCAGGTGAACTGACAGTGGTCAGCTTTCTCTTTCCCTCTCTCAGACATACTCAGACCCCTATATTCATCAAAGTGCTTGTTCGCTAAGTCAGAATTGGATATAACAACGACCTAGGAGCTGCCTCAGGGTGTCGTTATGGTAACTTTGCAAGCGACATTGTGAGTACCAGAACGCTGGTGTTCGAGAGGATACCTCGAAATCGACAGTGTTTTCTCGCTGTGCTTAAGTGTGCAGGTGTGCAGTGCCTTCTGTATTCGTTTGTGTATGCGTCTATGAATGTGTGGTGTTTATTAGTGCGAGACTGTGAGCTTGTTGCTAACACCGTGCTTGTCGCCAACGTGAACTCTGCTATAGTATCACGCACTAAGATTGATACAGGCATCTCATGGAGGAGGTACCGTCAATACCGGGGGTTGGAGCCCTGCACGGAGCCGCATCGGCGTTCGCGGCGGTCCACGGAGCTATTCCAGTTGATCAACGAACTCACGAGGGTCGTTACGTATGGGAACCGCGCATCAACCCCTTTACCGGGTAAGAGGTTTTTTTTGACATTTCCGATAACAGTTGTACTGAGCAGGAGGGTTATAATTAGTCACTTTTAAGATTCATATGTGATATGGCTTGATTACGGAATTCTAGGTACTAGCTATGCATACATTGAAAACAAAATCATCCTAATAAGATGTAAACTGCTTTTCAGTTTATGGTCAGTATACCCCGTTGGTAATAGTTTTGCTTTGCCTATTCCCCAGTTGACTAAGATCGGCCTTATAAACTCATCGCAACGCACGCGTATACATAAAGCATTACATGCATATATGCACATTCTTACTATCATTCGTGGCCCGCTCTTCAACTTATGAGAACCCTTACGATGTAGTTCATTATCATCATCGTTATTACCTGAGACACTCGTGCTCTGTAGCAAATCTAAGTGCAGTTCCAAAATTCGATACGCTCTGCGATATCATGCCCGCTCCCCTGCAAGAGCGTTTGCTATTCATCTCACCACAAAGTGCTCGCTAGCACCTGTTGCCGTTCCGAGAATCGACTTAGCAAGTAGGACAAGGGGTCCGCTTGAATTAGCAAAAATGTCCCCAGCAAAGTTCAGCGCCAGTGTATGTGCAGAAATTTCAGGGTCTGGATGTGAAGGTTCGAGACTAGGAAAAAGTATCATTTGTTTCGTGCTGGGATCAGCTGTCTGAAGCAATGTTTGGACGCAAGGCAATACTGAAAAGCAATACGTGTCAGGCCTGAATTGACCTTCTTCTGGTCGTTTTATATGCGTCTCGTCTGCTTAAACGAATTCTTTATTTCGAGGAGCTTAGAGCAGAGGATCTTGTCAAAAATAGTGTTGAAATAATTACATCCCGAATCGTTCCGTAGCTATATTTTTCTAGCTGCTTGTTGAGACTGATGGTATTTGGAAATAACATAACCTTTGAATCGGCTATGTCCATGACCTTCTCTATGCAGACTGACATTGAACGGCATAGGACCAGCTGTTAGCTGTTCCACGATCTTCAACAGCTATAAGATGTCTACGTACGAGAGATACTTGAAAATGATTTGCCAAATTGTAGCCATGATAATTGCAGCATTTACAGCAAAAATATCATTGGTAATATTATTTCAGCCCCTTACCACGATCAGGATAGAGAAAGATAAGGATACACTTGTTATATCCTTGAAAATTCGCTATGACTAAGTTGTTTCTGGATTTAAGCTAGACTTATTTTACAGCTGGCAGTTTTTTTATTTTACTCAAGCACACATACCCTTAGAGTATTTGCTATACACTTTTCCCAGTAAACTTTACGAGTGCAAATCAAATCCGTTCTCAAGAATCGGTCTATTTAACTGGAGTCATATTCACTTGTATATACATGTATTGTTTATTTCTCGTTTGTTAGCTGTTTACTTGTCGACGCCGTTATCAATGGGTCGGCCCGTTATTCTTTTCACTCATCATGATCTTTGGCCATTTTGGACATTTGATCGCTAGTGGAAGAGAGGTAATGCGTAGCAGGTTTTTTCGGGAGCATATCCGTCACTGATTATGAAGAAGCCTTCTGGTGCCTGAAAGAATATTTGGGGGCTCCCACAGACCTAGTGATGCATCTGTCGTTTTTCGCATCGCCGTCGTCGTCACTCACTGTCGGAACGATAGGTCTGTAAGAGGAACAACACTGGATCTGAGTTGGCTACAAATCATAGCGGCATCCTAGGTCGCCTTTTACAAACATCGTGTCCTTAGAATAGACTTCCATCATCTTATTGCCACATTTGCATACGACCTAGTGCATTAGCTACGGCAATTCCGCGTCTGGCTGTTCAGTCTTGTACTTTTTTAGACTTCCGAACGTTGAGCAAAACGCACTAATGTACTTCCGTAGTTCATTGGGGTCTTGTCGTTGATCGTATTACCCCTGCATCATATTCAATTGTTAGTTCGCTCCAATCAGCGGAGCAGTTTCGTGTCTGATTTATGCTAGTTAGACACCTGGGACGAGGAATCCACTGCTATCATCGTCACCGCATATACAAAATCACTGCCAATGCCGGTAAACAAAAACGTACTAGTTAAAATCCTTCCGACACATCTTCTATTGAAACTACCTAAATAGAAGCTTAAACAATCAAGTAATGTCGGAGTTGGAGTAAATAAAATGTACACGAAAACATGGCATCTAATTCTAATCTCAAATAGTTTTTATAGAATCTTGCTAATCAAGGGTTCATCGTTTCTCATTTGATCTATTCAACTTCGACATTTTAGTATTCAACGGCACGCGTATTCGTTGACCCCGAGCAACCTTTATCAACGGATTATTGACAAGCTCCGTATCTGAATAATACAGAAGTGTTCTTATCGGAACGTAGGCTGAGCTCGATCGCTAAACAGCAGAATGGGTAGAAGCTTATAGTGTACAATAGTAACTGTCAACGCTACAACAAGCGCAGGGTTGCTTGATAGGTACTCATAGTGGAAGCCAGCCACAATATCAGTTCGCCATGTTAAAACTAGTTCATATGTTACTAGGAGATGTCTGCCCTGCGTTAGCGATTAAACCAAGTAAATAGGCAAATGTCTACGATTGTAAAATCAGGCGACGATTTCCAGTAGAAGTGGTTCACTCAAGTCACTGCCCTCGTATGGCCATTGTGAACCAGCCTCAGATCCTATTTCGGTAGTACTACAATGATGACCTGTTGTAGCTTGCTCCTGTCCTCAACTCCCGCCTTGGCAAACTAAACAGGTTCCCGCCTAATTTACAATGTACACTGAATATTTATACAATTATTTTTTAATTTATACAATTAGAGGCCTTTTCCCGACGAGCGAATTTAGCCAAGCATATGTATGCATATATATATATATATATATATATACATGATTGACGAAAAAATTTTTTTAGCTACAAGTCACATATCTCAGGTATATGTCAATTCGGGGCTGGTCCCATTCGAAAGTTGGGATTTGGCAGCAGTAGGTGCGCTAAAATAGCCTAAATGAATAAAATGCTAAATGGACCTTTTATTGTAGTTTCAGTTTAGGAAATTTCGACGTATAAAACACCCCTTGTAGTGATCGGCCAATTACGGACGAAGCTGATGAAATGCTTGTGGAAACGGAGCAAGATCGACTCGTGAATAGCTATGAGATCTGCTAAGAAATAATCTATCAATCGGCAGGCGGTTTTAAACTATTTGAAGGAAGCTGGCTACAAAGAAAGGCTCAATGGCTGGCTCAATCGCGTAATCCATTTGGCGCAAATGGATTACGCGATTGTATTTCCACCTGCAGAGCCCTATAGAAACACAACGGAATCGAAGTATTTCTGGAGTGGTTGATCATGGCCGATGAATCATAAAAAAATAGGCTTTTATAATACTTGCTCGGACGAAGCTCGGACTGACACTCCAGTTATGCTACGTGTTTAGTGGAACTGGAAAGGATTCGTGCATGATGAGCTACCCCCACCAGGGAAACCGATTGATTTAGACCTACACTGTCAACGATGAATAAGACTGCAACAGAGCATTGAAAAGTTTGTTTGCTGAGAAGAAGCTCTCGCGTTACTCTCCTCTGAATGACACTGGTCTGTGTCGTATCGGTATTTTTCTTCGTTTTCAATAAAGAACTTCATTGCCCCGGCAGGGTCATCGCGACGGCCACTGCTTATGCCAGTTGGTGTCGAAGTCTTACGGATACCATCACGACGGTTAAGGCGATATGGTTGGCTATTTAGCGGCTCGTCTAGTTGGCTCGTTCTTCCGTTTGCTCAAAATGATGTTTCCTCTATTCGGACTGCTTGTCTTATCGTCATCACTGTTGCTGTTGTTAGGATTATTATTATAACTATGATCGTTGTCGTCGTCACTGTTCTTTTTCTTATTGCCTTATAGATTTAACAGCGTCCACGGACTCTCGCTGTTGCGGCTAAGTGATTCATTTGCTTTTGTCTTCTATAGGGCGAGTAGATGTACTATTAAACTTATACAAGTTACGGTAACAATTTAGCGCGTCATGATAGCCTTTCCCTTTCATAATATGCGTGAGTGAGTCGGTATGATGGATGTTCCGTACTGCTTACACCGTTGTTGGCTGCGTTCTCGTTCGAGCCGCGTCACTGATTTTTTTGCCAGTTCGTAGTTTTGCCCGTTCATTTGCCGATTCGTCCGTCGACGTTCCAGCAGTGGCCCCCGCGCGAACATAAGCCACCACGTAGATAAATCATCACGCGGGCGGAAATTTTTAGCACCGATACCGTAGCCGTTCGTCCGATTCTTGTTGGCGCTTCTCGACGGCGTCGTGTATCGTTCCGCAGGGGTATGCTGACGACGATTTCTTAGAAGTCTGCGCGTGAACAGATTTCGACTTGATTGGCTCACACCTCGAACTGCTCTGCTTAGCGTGGACGAATAGATTGAGTTGGTGGACCGCTTCCAGACCGGTCAACATAAGCGGGCGTCCGGTTGCTGCGTATTAATCGACCCATTGGAAGGATGCTTGTTTAACTTGTCGTTGTAGCATCATGGGCAGCAGGAAAACCGAACACGGCCACCGAATCGACTATGAACTTCAGAGAGATCGTCGGACCGCGGCGTATTTGTCTTAATATCCTGTAGCCGCTCATAGCAGTAATGCCACTCGCCTAACATCAACATGTTGATACAGGTTGTGTCGTATGCGTAAAATGTGCCTATTAACGTTGTTTTTTGGCCATTCTGAAGGAGAGGAACACAGGGGATGGGGGTGGCAGACAAAGCGTACAATTTTTTTTTGCTGCGTAGTTACCGTGGAGTTCCCTAAGTAAACCACAAGCTTGTGTTGCATTATAATGTTCAAATGCTGCGTCGGCCTTCAATCTATTACCACCGAAGTGGTTATGATAAGAACATCTAATTTTGCGAGGTCGATCTTCTTGCGAATCAATAGATACCGAACGTACTCCAGTTGGAAGTAGCCTGCTTGAATACTGATATGCTCATTTAGCAATGCGTTCGATTAATACTAATACGACTGATTACGTCGTCAGCTTTTCACGCGCCGGACTTCGATCTGCCGTCACGGTCCGAAATTGATAAGTTTTCATATATCGTTGCGATAGCTATTGCACAAGTGACTGATGACAGCTCATGTCTGTGTTCTGAACCTTATTTCTCACTAGTGACACAATAGATGGAATTTGAATTACGGAAAACTATTATTTGCTCCTAAATCTTTCTCCTTCACCTTTAAGGTATCGTCCCATTGTTCTCACCAACGTGGCGTCTTTCCACTTCATGTCAAGTTATTGTTACCCTGAATTTACACTATTTTTTATAGAGTAAACTTTCGGCGCATATGTCATGCATACCAACGTTGATTTCATTTAGGAATCTTTGTTTGGCATATTTTAGCAATTTTCGCATTGACTTTTGCTATCCTAAGCCTCTCTATCTGAAAATAGAGTATTAAATGCACGCCAAGCGCCTCCTCTACTCAGCTTGTCTCAAAAAGATGCTGTCACTTTGGTCTCGGTTCGGAACAATTTATTTCTCCGCTCGGTCACTTGCCTGGCTAGCTGGCTTCAGCTACTGCATATTCGATGTCAATTCGATTGAATCTGCGACAGACAAACAGGCTGACAAACAAGTTGATAGATCAAGGGTCCGACAAACCGCACTACGAGGCCCTCTTTGATTCCTCCACTTAACTCTTTGCCTTCCTCGACACCGTTTCCGAGACAAAGTGTACGGAAAACACGCATCCGACAATGTGCAGCAAGCGTGAGAGTGACCCACAACCGTTAAGGCAACTCTACGTTTCGGCCCATCAACATCATGTCAAAGCAGCCTTTGCAGCATCAAACCGCTCGACCATGTGACAGGACAGTGCAGAGACGGTAACAGCCGTAGAAGATCTCTCAATCGCTAAAGCTCCCCTTGAATTCACTGTGGAACAGTACTAGCATCAACAACTAGGACGATTACAGTGTCCCGGTCTAGCTCTCGAGCTCTGATACTTCAGCTGACCCGGGCTTTGGCCCAGCGTCACATAACGACACAATAAACCTATATATGTTGATAGCCAAATCGAAGGATGTTTTCCGTTGACGTTGATCGACGGAGGGAGATCATTACTAAGTCAGTAAATGCAACTTCGAGGGGATATTCAATCGGGATTATGGATGTCGATGATGACGATGAAGTTCGCTTGTCGGATAATTGTCAAAATGTATCTATTTGTGCGGCAGTAAATAGCTAGTAACCACTCTAAAAACACTGACGTTAATACCTTATTACACGTATCGCATAGTTCGATTAAGAGATAAATACACGTATCGTAAACTATCAGCCAGCAGCGCCGAGTCGCCCATGATTCTTGCCATCAGCTATTGTTGCACTTCATTCAACCCGTGAGCTCGCTCGTTGCGCATCGTCGTCTGTCTGACAAATCTGCCATAGGACCACGTGTAGCAGACAGCGGCCTTGTTACGGTTTTGTTGGCATCCACAGCTATTGCACGTTTCTTTCACACGATCGACATTTGTCGGTTACTAGTCGCCGTCGTCGTTACCGCCGCCGCCGAATCGTAGTAAAATTGGTTTCTGTCTTGTTTTTGGTCGGGCTGTTAGTCTGCGTCCGTTGGCTAATCCTCTTTTTTCTTCATTGTACTGCTACGGTCTTCCTCTGACCCGATCACTGATTAAGGAGTCAATGCACGAGGAAGAAGTTGGACATCCACCAAGAGAGGAGACCCATTACCGCAGCTTTCGTCATCTTCGTTGTCGCCGGCCAGTGTCGACATCACGCTGCACTCCGGTGATGAAACTTTAGCGTTCTTACTCCGTCTTCGACGACGGGAGGCGGCAGCAGCACCAAACTTATCCATCGGCAGCAGTTTCCGCCTAGCGCCTTCTTATGATTGAATGCCATTGCTTCTGCTGTCGCCAGTTTTTTGCTTCTAGCATTTATGCTACTGTTGTTGCTGCTGCCACCGCTGCTGTTGTTGACGCAAGTTAGATTGGCGTCTCCGTCTTGAACGATCGGAGTTGGGAGAGGACAAACTCGTCCATCGATAGAGCTCCAGGTCCCCTGTGTCTTAGTCTGTCTCTTCGCGTGCACACTCGCTGTTGATAGTTGCTAGCCTTGATCGGTAGATCCTTATGTACGGCGAGCTCCAGACGGACCCTGAACGAATTCTTTTTGTTTGCGATCTCCGCGAGCCTTATTTGGTTTTCTACTTTTCGTTTCTACTTCTTTTTCATTTTTCTTCTTGAATCGCTTCAGATTCGACTTGTCGCTGCAGCCGTTGAAAGCTGCCGCTAGAAGGTTTGACGAAGGAACAAAACTCACGAAAAAAGTACATTTGGGCCTAGCGACCCAGCGGACCCCTCGTGGTGTTTTGCGAACTAAAGGAATAGGCAGAGGTTCGTTGGCCAGCAAATGCTGCTTTTTAGTGCTCAATGCATCTCATTTTCCCTCTTAGTCTTTTTTAGCGGGACGAGGAATTAGACGGCGACACGGTTCAGTTAGAAGATGAGCGGGAACAATGCTCGAATCGAAAAAAACAATTATTGGAAAGAGCTTTTTTTATTCGCATAAGCTGTGCAGTTCTGTGTACCGCTGATGGGATTTAAAGCAACAACCGATGGTATTTTTCAACCAGAAACTGGGTTGTCCAAACCTCTGCATCGACAGAAAGGATTACTATCCGCTGAGTTGAGCCGATACTTCGAGTCGATGACGATCAAAGCCCTGCTACCCTCTAAGAGATGCGGGAATAGCAGGTAACGCTATGGCAAGGACATGAGCCGGCTTCTGGCAGCGACTGGCCATTGTGATCTACCAGAAGAATACAAGAGCAAGGTTGCTTTATGAACTAGGGGACTCTCAAACTCGCCAGTACCTTATCATTTTCGTGGGCATCGTCGACCTCCCGTCGGTAGCCGAGGGATTCCTGGAGCTCAATGGCGTTTCAACCTACGGATAATTTTCCGAGTCGGTGTCGTCCGTGTGTTTACATTGTTTAATTCTAAGCGCCTGTCGGGAAGGTCCGTGAGCAGGATGACGATGGCTCGTCTCTGCCGTTTCTGTTTCACTGCATAGCACTACTCTTCTATGGGAGCTGTGAAAAGGACAGTGCCGCTAAGTGAAGTGCACCATTGCAAAGGACAAGCGATGGTAGACAGCGCCGATTGCTTGCTGTTGGGTAGTCACCGCAACTATTCATCTCGATCAAACGCGTCACGCATATCAGAAACTTAAATCGTCTTAATTTAAAACGAAAGCTCTTGTATATGCTATACAAGGGATGCGAACAGATTACGAGCTGTTCACAAGAAAAATACCCTTATTCTAGGATAGTAACAGTCGTAATTCAAGTATCATCCTGAAAATATGCTTAATTCAGCCCTTTGTGACGAAGAAACCCACTCGTTCACATAACGCGAATGAGGTTCTATTCATTCAAACTGAAAACAAATGAACATTTTTAATGCATTCATTTCACGAGATCTCGTTGTGTTCCTCGTACGCTTTGCAAACGCACGCCTATCGCTGAAGCTGAATTCATATAATGAATAAGGAAAGGCTGCCAGGTGTTAATCTGTAGCGTCATCCAGGCGACTTCTCTGACTGTGACCATTATGCCTTGATGGATCAACAACACGATAGAAAGGCACGGTCGTAACTAGAGGCGAAATTGCATTTTGCCAAAAGGATGTATTTCGTGCTCACTTAATACTTTTATATTCGTGTGTGTTTATTCTCAATTAGTATCTATGTTTGTATGTGTGTGTCATCTTGCACGAGTTTCGATATTGAATTTAACTTACCTGTTTATTTTATTACAGTTTACCCGCTTCTCCTGAGCTGGCCTTGCAACAAGCCGCTATGGGGGCGATGGGCGCTCGATCTCCGTACCGGCTGTCTCCGTACCTTGACCAACTTTACAATCCGTTCGCTAGTGGCTCTCCGCTTATGAGGGTGCTTAGCCCACTTGACCCTCGAAGTTCGTACAGTAAGAATATTCGATAGTAATAATAATCATAATAGTAACTTGTGTTGAATTGCTTGTCTAGTAGGTCTAAAGAGCAACTTTTTTTTTGTCGTTTTTTGCTATTAGTTAAGACCGACCTATTATAAATGCTATATTGTTGTTGGGATGTTCATTTGATTACGCATTTGATTTGTTTCTGTGTCCCGGCTAGATTGTTATAGACCTGTTATGAACATACATATACGTATGCTCCTTTATGCATTACGAATACGTACACAACATATTGAAACGCGTCTAAGACGAATCACATCGACAGCCAGTAACCACTGGTGCAAAAACCATTTCCGTACCACGTCGATAAACATCATTCTGGCTCGTGAAGATCTTCAGTTACCGTTACAAGCGGTGACCTTCCTTTCCCCGGTGGCATATTCCGAATATGTGTACGGGCTTGACGTGATTCTTATCGGCCTGGTCGGTTATTCTCTCTCTATCACTCTATCTCATGTTTGGTGGCATCTCCCGTCAGTGACCATTAACGAGACAATTCGCGAAGAGAATCATAATCAAGCTGGCCGTGCATATTTTTTAAAGAACTTTCGATTAGTATCCTCTAAGGTGGATGCAGTGCGCTTTGAGGCTGTTTTGCTCAAATCTGAAAAAAAATTGTCGGTAGCTCGGACAGCTCATCTTCAGCGATCACACCCTCATGTTTCGCAAACTTTTGACCAGAGATTCCGTATTTGCTCATCGCGCTTTTACTACTAAAGTTCTCTGGTCCTGCCTTCGTGGTTCGTCCACTTATCAGTTCACCGGGTAGTCTCGTCGAACATCGCACATCGTCGTTAGTGTCATCTTGTTACATTATTTGCTAAGTGAAAGTAGCATCCGTATCTCGATTCTGGATCGAGATCGACATCATAATGTCTTTCAACCCTATTCTCATTCGATCTCGTTCATTTGACAGTCTCAGTATGTGCACAGACCTCCTCTGCCTTTCCCTGTTTTTGCTGTTGCTATTTAAGGCTGCGCAAAATTCGTCGAACCTATCGTGCCGTTAGCACATTATCGTCGTCCCTGTTCAGCCACTGACAGGTCTGGTTGTTTTGTCACTGCGGATGCTAGGACCACCGTTACCGTTACCAGCACCGAACCCTCTGCCATCCGTTGCAATCATCGAATCCATGCATGACCAGCGACTGATCGCTCCGATCAGCTATTTGTTATTTTAATATTTGTTTGGTATTCCAATACGGCCAGCAGCGCTATGGCTAGCGCCGGCTCCAGCGTTCGCCATGTGCATCGTTCAAAGACGGACGCCACTCTCTTGTACGCTGCCTTGTTTGCCACGCCTTGGATGTATTCCAGCGGTATTTGCGTTAGTCCCGTTTGCCTGCTGTTCGTCATAGCTGTTACCTTCTCGATCGTCTATCAGCATATCCATAATTGTACCACCGCTAAGGAGTTCTTACAATCACCTTCTACAACCGTTCGCCGCTCTCGGTGCACCTCGTTAGGCGTCTATTTCTAATCTTCCCCATTTATCTATCTCGTCCCCACGTCCTTACACGGCAACAACTATTGCACTTTTTCGTTTCACCCCGACGCATTTTGCCCTGACCAATCCAACTCAGCCACACCAGAGCCTCTTAGCAGCAGCGTTAACGTTTTTGTTGGCATGTTCAACGCCGGTTGACAGAAACCATTTTAACACATAAGCGGTATATATATATATATATATATATATATATATATATATATATATAGAGGTTGTTTAAACGTAAGTAAATGGATAGTAGTTCGACGAGTTCGCTCGATATTGGCCCTTTGACTCTGTTTCTCACCGAGCTGAGAGGTTGGTGAAGGCTCGATGTATCCGAATAACGCGAGCGATCAATCGCGTTTGAGAAGCTACGTTCATCTCAGTTGCTGATGACGTTGCTGTTGGCAGAACAATCTCATCGTCGGAGCGTGGGAAGGCCTAGACTGCAGAGAAATGCAAAATGAAAGTAAAAAAAAAAATATCATAGAACAAGTATAAGGCACTTAAGCATACGCGTGCGGTGAAATCTAGAATTGCAGTTTCGATTGCAGCTCTCGCCTCCCCGACGGGCTAACATCGTGATTCGCTTAAATCTACTGCCATCTCGATCGGTGGACGAGGTCAGTTGCTGGGTTCGGTGGGTGTGCGTTTATCACCACACGACCCATTGGGCACGAAAGGCGAAGCATCTTGTTGTTGCCAGCATCTGCGTCAGCGGGAGAGGCAGAACAGCCGTGGTAGGTCATGACGAGAGACACACGATCTTCCTACTGGTCGATGGTGTTGACGTTGACGGCGTCGCTGCCACTGCCGCTATGACTCATCATAGCGAAAAATGAGAGGCATAGTTCGTCAGGATCGATAGGACGTTTAATAGGAACCTATTGCCGGAAAAGCGCATGCAGAGAGATACGCACCAATTACGTGTGTAGATTTATTAGTGCTGTAAATAGCAAACAAAGGCCGGCGAGCCGGTCGTCTTCGCAAGCCAGCAGAAGCAGTCACCGAAAAAGTGAGGATACCAAATAAAGTGCAACAAAATAATTAAGATCTACAATATCTATCGATTGGGAAATTGGTTTGTTTTGTGGACAACAAATGATATTTGGTCTCGTAATATCTTACTATCGGTCTTTATCGCCGTCAAGCTTATTGGAATGGAATGGATGGCAAGCAATCCAGTTCGATATTCAGTCTAGAGACCATCCATGAGATGCGCGATTTTTTTCCATTCACGCATCAGACAACGATCGCATCACCTACACCAAGCGGCGTCTCTCATCATTTTTCATTTCTGATGCTGCCGCTGCTACTCTAATGATACTGAAAACGGCACTTTTCTGCCACTGCTGTCGTTGAATACTCAACTGTATCAGGCAAGGCTGTATTGCGCAGATCCTCGCATACAGTTATAGCACATCGGACACGGGTGAACTAAATTGGCTTTTTTTTTAATACCTTTTTTGTTGCCAATCCCGCCAAACGAGATCATTACATGAGCTCGGGTGTCGACTACAATGTCTCTACAGATGCGGGCAATGGTACGCAAAAACGGACGTTCGATATCTCGATCAAGCACTGTGACGATGATAAAGCCAAGTCTTATCATACTAAATACTGTATTCTTAACTGAGCTAAGTCGATGAGCTACACCTTCCTGTTATATTTTCGTAAATCTCAAAATAGGATCTTATACGGAACAGCATGATAGCGTCGCTCACGTTACCACGTAACATATTTTTCGTTGCAATACACGCAGTCCGCCTACTGCTGTTAGATTCCGCGTTGCTTCACGTAACCCGCACTCCGAAGTGCGTCATTATTCTATTATAGTACACCGACCTTCTGTAGGAAAATCACAGGAAACGGAGCACGTCAGCATCGACCTCTGCCAACAACAGCAAATACAATAGGCGCGAACAGCATTGTCAACAAAGACAAAATCGAAAGGCCAACAGAAAGCTTAAGTGAACACGTCAAATAGATCGCCATAGTTGTAACAACGAAAAGCCAGACCATAAACGATGGTTGGAGAACACGTCGCGGCGGCGCATAGGAGCTGCCACGTTTCGCTGATCTGCGTAACCGGTAGCCCGCTACTGGCTGAGTCCGGCGCCCGCAAAAGTCACTGCTATGGCAATCGGCTCAGGCCGTATAGGAGTCGCACCCGTAGCAGCTACAACATTTTGGTCGTTGTAACCCGTTGGTGAAGACGAGCGCGAAAAGATTATGAAGCTCGTTTCTTTCGTTCTTTGTCGCGCGGCCCACAGACGTTAATATGACCATTACTCCTCGACGTAGTTTGATCCTTCTCACTCATAAAGTCGTTTTATATAATACATTGTCAAGCAAGTTTTTTTATTCGAACAGATCCGAGGAACGATTGGCGCTCAGCCGTCGGTCTATCGGTGGTTCTCTTTACACGAACAGCTTAAGACATGCTGTGTGGGTGTATGGAGCTCGAGCTACGACAGGCATCCGGATATGCTGTGCATAACGGCGTGGCCGTCTATTCGTCCTCTGAAAAGGCCCAACAGACAAGAATTGCTGAGTAGAAGAAGAAAAACAAGCTCTGAATGCTCGTAGCGATCTCCGCTGCCATATCGGCATACGAATGAGATAAAAGGAGTTTCTCAGAACACCATCAACTATCATCGCCGCAAGCAGCAGCAGCAGCATCAGCATCTCCGCGGTTATCAACGAAGGTCATCACGAAAACTATAACATCGAACAAAACATCGTTTTCACAGCAGGGCGGATTATATTAACGCTTAGAATTAGACAGAGTAGGACATTGAAAAGGCACATAGAGAAAGGGGTATAGTTATGTTTTTATAGTGTAATTTATCACTTTTTAGTGTACGTTGTCCGTTGTATATTATACGTACACAGACGTAACATCCCCTGTAGTACTGTTGGCTTACGTCGTGATATAAAAACAGATGAGTGGATCATTACTAAACTAGACTGCATGACGTAACGTATTATTTTAAAATATTTTACGTTAGCAGTCTATATAGAGATTCTTAATACTCACTGCCCATTGGTCATGTGACTACGAGTGCAAAGAGTGTAATTATATGATAGTAATAGATATACGTCCGAGTAACCGATTATTATATTGATATTATAGAGAATAATGAATGGCTTTCTCGTTGCTAGGGCCATATGTTGGGCACGGACGTGTCAGATTTGCTGGAACGAGTACCCTTCGTTTCCTCGACATTTTGCGTTGCCTTCCTCGAATGTTGTCGATTTATTGTTGTTGGTGTTTTTAGCTCTCAAGCAATTACATCGTTATTACGGTACTTTTTCTTGTTGTTATTGCGGTAGTTATCGTTTGGCTTCTGCTTCTCTCGTGTGGCATCGTAATGTCGGTGCTATATTATGATGATTACAGATGCCGTTGCTACAAAGTTCGAGACAGATGGCTTAGGGTAGAACGACAGATTCTCAATTTTTCATTGAAACGGCGACGGGAGAAGTCGAGGACTTCAGCTTCGATTTAAGCTTTCTGCCCCTGTTGTTACGATATTTCGGCCATTTTGTTCACGTTCAACAGCAGTGAAGTCAATAACTTTGAAAGACAGATAGAGAACTAGCGTTGTTGCGCAAGGCAGTATTTGTATCTGTGGACGACATCAACGACAGCAGTAACGTATCGTTGCGACAGTAAGAACGGGGCGACGAATATGGGCCGGCGGCAGCGCCAGCCAGAGCAGGAGCAGGCAAAAAATTTGAAAATTATGGGATAGACGGGGTGCTATCGTGTTGAAAATTAAGTGGTCCAATTTGTTTATGTCAAGATCAGACGTCAAGCTATCAGCCGAACTCTGCTCTCCGTTGGCTACCACGAGTTGCCGGGTGGCCACAAAATAGTCTAACACTGCTACTGCTCCAACAGTAGAAAGATCGAAGTAGTTCAGTTCGAAACAACAGTTGAAGCTAAATAGTACTCGGCTAGACTCCATAAACCGATAGTAGCAGAGAAAGGTAAGTGCTCGAGCTTTTCTGCTTAGAGACAGAAAAGAGCGGAGACGATATTGAAGATTTCTAGATAGCTGTTGTTCATGTTGAAAAATATCCGACCTGGTCCGAGTAACTCGATTGCTACTGCAGGAGTAGCAAATGTAAAAAACGAAAAAACTACCGCCATTAACATCACTGGCAGTGCGTAATATGGACAAGGGATCACTGTTTGTCGTATCGAAACGCAGTATAAATCATCATTATAACACTGAGCAGTTTTCATTTCAACTGGACATTAGACACGGCTGGTATGAAATAGACAATACGGTTGAGTTACGTATGTTGGTCTTTTATAGTACTCGGTGCCCTTGATTAAAGCTAGATCGCGTTTACTGCACGCAAATTGAGCTAGATACCACTAGTCGCACTCACTAAGGACATCCCAAGATGCATTAAGGAGGACGCTAAATGAACTTTTAATCGGTTTCCTTCTGCGATTTGCAGACGCGTCTTCCATTCAAATGGATTACTTACAACAGGTGCAGACAGCCATCGCTCATCAGCGGGCAGCAGCTGCTCTGCAACAACACACGGCAACCGATGGTAAGTGTCGCACTCTTTATAGTTAATAGAAGCTATATATTCAAAGTATATGGATATTTAGGTGGAGCGAGTAAAAACAAGTTAAAGCTGGCCGGCCTGTTGAGGGGAATGAACTCGCCGTGTATGCCCACTCAAGGACAAGGCCGAATAAGGCAAACCAATGAGACCGCTATGTTTGTTTACGTCTGCGCTTTCTTTGTAGCTCGTGCCCTTTGCGAGGAATGGCACGAGTAATGTTTGAGCGTTGAAGCGCTACGGCGCGACTCATCACATTGTTATGAAGGATTTCTGTCGGTGTACCTCTTACTGAATGGAATCACTTCTATACATTGAATTTGCTATATTTCGCGGGGAAAAAACGCGGCGACATCACCCCAACGTCTGTCTCTATAGCTGACTGACAGATAAAAATAACAAATAGCCCGTTTAGTAAACGCATACGGAAATCCTGTTATAACATTAAACCGTTTATCAACCGTTTACAGCGACCGGTGACATTATGCAGTCACGAGTCATCCGACAGAATATCCACAGCGCAGAAACTGAATTTCTGTCAAGTTTCAGTTGGGTTCCACTGCTGATCTGCCAATTCTGGCACCGAACTCGTCTATCGATATTAGCAGAAATTCAGTGTTTACATCGGCTAGGAGCATGCAGCTTTACGTCTTCAGTCGGATATACGTTTAAATCTAGATTGAATAACTAACGAGTAGCCGCCTTTATCAATTAACTTATTATTACAGTACAAATGCTCGTTTGTCGGTTTTATCTACCTGCGTATTGGAAAAACCAGGGCGTATAGAGTTCGCATGGTAGAAGATTACTAGTTAGTGACGCATAGCATTAGATACCTTCGTGTTTACATCACCTAGCCACACATACAGTTGTCCAGCACACCTTGCCTTATTATCGTAATTCCCATTTAGCCCTGCTGTGCAGCTGACGTTTCTTTAGAAATTTTTTTGTAAAGTTTATTTTTTTTGCGGTAGTCTCGTGCTGTCTTGTATCCTCTCCAATCATTTTCATCTTTTATTTTCTGTTTTATCCACTCGTTCGAGTGGCGCAGCAGCATCATGGTCACCATCTGGACTTGATCTGATGCGAACCATTGAACTATGAAATGTTATTCAATTTGCGTTGTGGTCTTTTTCGTTGCTTATACTTGATCACTCCGTTTTGTTTCTTTTTTCTATAGCGACGGACTAGCATTACATCATACATTCGTACTCGAAGTAGACCGTAAGGCAGAGTTATCATTTGTAGCAGGAATAAAAGCCCTGAGCTTTAGGAGTATCTTAGGCCGGTGGCCGAGCCCGTCCTACTAAATACATTACTAATTTAACTCAGTCTCTTTTCCCCATGTTAACTGTAGCTGTTAACATTACCGTAGCGGCGTCTAGTATCAGCAAGAGGTGTTAGGTCGAAGCCGTCGACTGCTGACCATCCTCTAATCTTTTAACCAGTCTAAATCTACACAGTCGCCCAGCTCGTCTGACCAAGGGAACTACCGTATCTTCTACAAGCAGCGTCTGCCCTGTACTCACAGACACCGTGGATATAATAGGACTGCCCTTTTCTAACCAAGGCTTAATCTTTTTCCCCTGTCTCGTGCCTTCTTCGTCCCTTCAGTTAAATATAATAACATTCAATACCTGCCTTTGCCTGGTAGACTCGAAATAGAAGATGAGACAGACCTCTACTTGCTGGCGGTAATTAGTCTTTGTTGAAGTTCTTCGAGCATTTAGCCAGTCTCAACGAGAACATTCTGATCCTCTTCCATGTATTTACTCGAGAACACATGTGGATCATGGAACAGTTTGGAGTTTGTCGTGGACACGATTGTCTACAGCCGGCCAGATGCCAACGCTACACTTAGCCCTTTCGTGGTTTTTTGCTCGCTTTCGCTGTACAGCCTATTCCAGTTGCATTGTATGCTTTGTTTTTACTATTTATCTGTAGCTCTAGTAGCCGATTCAGTCTTCCTTTTCCATAAACCTCCCCTGCTCAGTTCAGTGGGACTTGAGTAGTTACACGGTAACCAGTTGAAGCGACCGGCTGGAGAGTCCGCTATAGAATCGTCCACCACAAAAACAACAGAAATAATAACTGAATCAGCTTTCTCTGTTTTTTTTGAGTGGATGCAGCACGAACTTGGCGTTTCTGTTACCATTCGCTGCGCTCTAAAGTCACGTTGTCATAGTAGGGACAGGAGCGCTGACAATATTGATCGTAGTATTATAGCATGGCGAAATGTTGCTTCGTTGACTCTGCCAATTTTCGCAACAGACTCTTGTTGTGGCCGTAGACTCAGCAGTGGCACCAGACAAAAGCCAATATGCTTATAGCATATATGTATGTATAGAGTATAAATGATGTTAAAATAGTTTGTTACTATCGTATTTTAACAGGACTACAAGTGGACGAACAGTGAGAAGGTACGCTATTCACCTCGATATAGTACGTTCTGATAAGGTACTAGAGTGGAATACTGAGCAGGAATCAGACGCTACACGTTTAGCTTTCGCGTCTTCGCTATTTACTTTGATATTTTAAGATAGCGATTTACCAACGGAGTGAGTAATTATGTTAACGACCACTATATGCCTATGATGATTATGTTGGCTAAACGAAACTTGCGAGGTAAACGATTATACAAGGTACGATCATGTTTAAATAGCTCTACGGCTGAGCGTTAGTAAAATCATATATGACACAATATACTAACGTCAGAGGGTACTAGAGCACAGGGTAATGCGGCCCATGTTAGTTTTCGGCCCGCCATTTTTTAATTGTAGTAATAATAATGTTTATAGTTGTAATAAAGATTATGTTTTAGCGGCAGGCCGCAGAGGGACACACTTTCATCATATCGGCACGATCGTTTAATCTAGTAGCATATCTCCGTCGATTGCGTATTGATTTTAGCGTATGACACGATCCAATGGTCTTTTATGGTAAACATGGATGCGATCGCGTTTTTCGTTCAGATATCCTAGCGACTAACTGCCTTAATAAACCTGCAAGTAAAATAGCTGCCTAGATTCTTGGGCTTCGAACTAGACAACCCTGTTTCAAAACCCTACCGGTGTCGTCGCGCTATACCGCTAGATTTCCCATCCCAAGCGTTATCTGACGAATTATTATACGGTATTATTGCTTCCTGTTTATATCAACAGCTTCGCCCAGTGCAGCAAAATAGTACGTACTGTTTATGCCCCAGCTGTCTATTACCATGCCCCAGCTGTCTTCTTTAGGGGTTGATCGAGGAGACCGGCACAAAAGCCAGCCGCAGCTCGTACAGATTACGGGAAACTTTTAGAATTGTAATCGTGCGCTTTTGGGCTCCTGTGTCAGATATATCGAGAGTCCATACCTGAAACTGCAGCTCCCAAAAATAGTTAGCTATTTTTCACGTCTCCCCTAGATCGCGTGCATACTGGGAGAACAAGGTGAGTGAATGCGATGTCTAATCTAAGTTAAAAGTGAAAGTTCTGCTGCGTCTCAACTAGAAGCGACGTTTAAGTTGAATGTACGTAGAACCCATCCAACGGCTCTTGAGGGGGGGGGGGGGGGCTCGTTGCTGCAGGGAGATGACAGAGACAAAAGACCAGAACTATGTAGGCCGTTGTGGCTAGCAAAAACGATCTTCATCAGGCTCTGACGTCTAATTGTGCCATCGTCATGTGCTCAAATCCGGTACTGGCCAAAAAAAATAGTAACAACCATTTGACTTGTAAGACACTTGCGGAGAAGGTAGCAGTTCGGTACTCGCCGATTTAAAGCTTTCTGTATGTAGCGATGGTCGCTGAGTGCACCGGGGTAATAGATCATAGGCCATCCGTTTGGCCGACCGTCGTAGCATGCGATTACCTATGTGAGATGTGATCACGTCTTTGTTGGCATACGAATATGGTATTATGTAAATTAGAGATAGAGCAGACAGCCGCGAACTACACTGTATCCCAAAGCATACCAAATAGCATTGCATAGAAGAGCGGGAAGGCACCATTGCCGTAGCACAATCGTTAGGGCGAATCGTATGCGCAAACAGACGAGATCGGATTCTATAGCAAAGCGTTTAGCTCGCCGCGGATGTTTTTGAGACAGGTAGAGATTTTCTCGAAATGAAGAGAGGAAATCAGAAGGCACACAGGTGCATACCTTCTTCTATGTGCAATATCGCTCTGGCTGATCCGAAGTTTTCGGGAATGACCGCTAGGATGTACTTATAGCACAAATGTGCATCTGTCTGTAGAAGCAACTCCAATTGCTCGTGATACGAGCCAGACATTCGAAAGAAGTCGCAGGGCTGTTAGGGCACTGCTGGCCATGGTAGCTCCAATGTCAGCTAGTTACGTGCCCTTTTGTTGCCCTTTTTTTGCTCTTCGTATAATTAGCGACTTCGTCGAAAAGGCGTGCTATGGTTCAACACGAGGGCCGTTCTTCCATTTAGGATGCAAAAATGCAATTGGTAACAATGAAAACTTATAACACGGTTTTGCGATACAGATAGACAGATAGAGATTAACTGGGAACTCGTGTTTTGACAATAAATGTTGTCCAGCATGATTGACGATTGTCATGTCAGTGTGGTAATTTGCATTTGCCATGTTACTGAAACAATACCTTGACAGCCTTCAAGCTAAGTTGTTCGGTAATCTGGACTTCACCTATTCGCTCATATGATGAAGATGCTCTGTTCCCTTGCAATGCTTGACGGCAGCACCAAGCGTAGAACTGTACACATTAGTCTAGTATCCGTCTCGGATCAACCTTTTCTCTAGACGATCATAGCCTATTGGTCGAAAGAATCCGAATATGCGTTATACATGGATACTTTTACTTGTCCACGGCGATTTTTTGTCGCCTAACGACAGGCACCGTATAGGCTGTTTCGTTCGTACACATATGACTTAAAAGTTGCATGATGGTAATTACTGCTCGAAAGCGGTTAGTCAACCCGTTCCTAATTTCAACGTAAAATGCTAGCCATCACAGAA